AGAAAGAAGGGATAAAAATAAAGGTATATCTCTACCATTCCTCTTTCACTGTGCCCTTCCAGAAGTCACAACTAGTAACACCCATGATATTTCATTATCTAATGCTCATGCCTACCCCTAGCTGCAAGGGAAAGTTGTAAAATATAGTCTTTTACCTGGATGCATGGCCTGTAAAACTAAAATCAGGTTTTTGTTGAACAAAAGGAGAGACTGAGTATTGAGTAAGCAGCTGGCAGTCTCAGCCAACGAAGCCACTGACTAGTTTACCTAGCCAAGATGGTGAGTAACTAGCCTCCTGGTGGGTACCTTGTGGTGAGTACCACAGACATCAGGCGCCTAAATCCTTGTTTAGTGCCTAGCACAGGACAGTAATGGCAAACCTTTTGGAGACCAAGTACCCATATAGCAACCCAGAACCTACTTATTATCACACAAAGTGCCAACACTGTAGTTAAACCTGAATACTGAGATTGTAGTTTTAAAAAAACTGTTATGTGATTCTCAGATGCTTGGGCAACTTGGATCATGTACAAAGAATGCTTGCTCTGTTTCTCTGCTATGGCATATGTACCATAGGTTTTCCACTGGCCTAGGAGATCCAGTTAAGATTGTCAGTTAACAGGTGTGTATGTGAACCTGAACAATAAAGAAAAAGGTCTAAATTTCCTAAATTCTCATACTATTTAAGGCCATCAAAGTAAACAAAAGGCCAAGGATAGAAACTTGTGAAAAATCAACATTTTAAACCAGGCATGTCCAGTTTGTAACTCTGTAGCTCTGCAATATCAAAAACTTTTAACATTATAATGTGATTTTTAGCAGTATTTTAACACTCCCCCCAAAAACAGCCAGCAATCCTTTGTTCTTTTTGGCAGCACCAGTTTCAGCCAACATAAATACTTTATTTATGAATTTTCAAGCAGAAGAAAAATATTCCTCTCTTCACAGTCATGTCTTATTCATGTCATCATTTTTAGCAGTACATGCACTTGTGGACAACTATTTTGAAGAATAATGTATACAAAGAGTAAAATTAGATCAAAACTTCCTGATGAGCACCTTGAGAAATCACTAAGGATTGCAACCACTTCCATCAAGTCAAGCCTGGATACATTAGGTTAATACATTAGTTTCACAAAAAGCAAGGTCAAATATCCAACTAGTTTTATGTTCCTCTTTCTTTCATATTATAAAAATAAAGGATGTCTGTTAATTATGTACATTAAATCACCCTTCATTCAGTGCAGCTCAGGAAATCTAAAATCCAAAGGGCTAGACACCCTTGCTAGAAAAAGTTCTTCAAATTCAGTTATAACCTTTTTCAGCTGATGTCACTTAATTGGGGGGGGGGCTGAACAGCAATTTTCATTTTATTTTATTTTTATTTTAAAGAGAATAAAACCAAACAATAAAACCAAGCAAAATAGTGAAAGTGATACAGGATTTCAAAGCAGGATAATGGGAAATCAACAATGGCTACCATAATGCCTTTTGTTATCTTCAAAATTGCTGCTCATACCACCAGATATAATAAAATCAAAACAGAACAGAATACAAAACCAATCAAAATAAAATATTGAATAAAACAAAACAAAATGGAACAAAACAAAACGGAACAATATTGGATTTCAAAAACAAAACAAGAAAATCCTCCATAGTTACTATATTGCGTGTTGTTATCCTCTAAATAGATGCTCAGACTATTGACTTTAGGCCTACAAAGTCAAACAGTATAAGCATTAATTTGTTTTTGTACCTCATTTTTTTATCAACTCAGTCTATGTGCCTCTGAATCAGTAGATTGCTTTTGGGGGAATTCTTGTCTCCCGGCTTGCACACTAGCTGGCTCACAGAAAGGGCACTTCCTGTTTCTCCTCCCAGCTCACAGTTACTGCTAGCACAAGAAAGGGCACATCTTGTTTCTCCTCCCAGCCTACCATCACCTCTGGCTCCCAGCCCAGTTTCTGCTGGCTCATAGGAAGGGTGCATCTTGTTTTTTCTCCTAGCCCACAGTCGCCACTGGCTCATGGGCAGGGAGCAGCTTGTTTCTCTTCCCAGCCCACAGTCACTGCCACCTCATGGGAATGGCACATCTTGTTTCTCCTCCTAGCACACAGTCACTGTTGGCTCACAAGTTACTTAATTTTTATGGCTGTTAGTTCCTTTGTAAAATGAAAATAATAGTACCTTCTTTATAGAATTCTTTTGAGGATGAACTATGTTAATACATGTAATATATTTAAAAGTATTATACAATAAGCACCCAATAAATGTTGTCATAATTATTATTAATATTTACTTCTAAGGAACTTGCCCTTAAAAGCAAAGAGAATAATAGTAAATAGATGGGGACATAAAGATATACAGTGTATTTTGCCCGTTAAGATTTTATTCCATGTTCATTGTTCTCTGTCTCTATTTTATGCTGTAATTTCAATTATTGGTTCCTATTTGTAATGTTGTGCTGAAGTCTCTTCATCTAGTTTATTCCCAGTCCTACCAGACTTAATGTTGGCTTCCTCTACTCCATAGCTAAGCTAGCTAAATATTCTGTAAATACTTTTTTCCTGCTTGATTTTTAACAAACAGTTACATACAGAGTTCACTTGATTTCTTTAATTTTTGTTACTCAAACCAAAGCTACATTCCATTCGTTCAAGTGATAGCATAGACTGTTTGTTGTATAAAAGCTGCTACATTTCAGTTTTTTTAAACTACATAAAAATCTAAGATGTAATTCTATAATTAGTATGTCCAACAAATTGTTGATATAGCACAAATAAATGAAAAGTGAAAGAATATAAAGCAAGGCTTTGCTGTATTAGTGGATTTTTTTGTTTGTTCATTTGTTTTTGTTTGTTTTGCTTATGAAATAATGACTAGAAAAGTTGATTTAGTAACATTTTAAGATACCACTATGATTTGGATCTAAAGGTCCGTGTGGTAAAGGCTTAGTTCTCAGCATGGCACTGTTGGAGGTAATGGAACCTCTAAGAAAGGTAGACTTAGAGGGAGATTTTCAGGTCAGTGGTGGCGGGTCCTAAAGGGAACTGGGCCCTGGCTCCTTCCTTGTCCTCCCTTTTGCTTCTTGGCCATGAGGTAAGCATTTTGTTCTGCCACATTTCCACCATGAAGTGTTGCCTTGCTTCAGGCCCAAGCAATGGATATAATTTCTTTTTTGTGTTTTTTAATCTCTGAGAATTTTCTTCATCCAGCATGGGGCCTTTTTTGTTCAAGTTCTTTTTTTCTGTTCATTTTGATCTATACGTTGCTATTAAGAGATCCTCATGTGCCTGCTCATATTTACCTAAGGCACTGAAAGTTGATTAGAGGCATCGTGCTTGTGGAGGAACTTGTCTTGGATTTTTACTATAAGTTGAGCTGGGTGAGGCATTTTGTTAGGAACCGCCATCATCCATCTAATTAGATCTTTTATTTGAGACTGGTTGGATTCCCTGGGAAGTATTTTTCCTACATCTTCTTGATGAATATATGCCTAATTTAAGCATTGTAAAAAGGTTAGGAAAAGAAGGCTGGAAATTTGATAGTAAGTAAGTCACCTTTCATTCCTCCTGCCATCATGCTGTGTCTCATATTTGCCCTTGAGTCGGGCAGTCCAGGGCTTCTTCAGTTTTACCTCCAGGAAAATAAATCTTATCTTTCTGCAAGAGTCAAGGTCTCATTGTTGCTAAAACAGTTTTCAGTCCATCCTTCTGCCTTTTGTTTCTCCTTCACGATATTTCAGGACCACTGTAAGATCCTGCTTTTGGCTTTCTCTATTACCTGTGTAAGATTCAGATTTCTTTGTTATGCCAACTAAGCTAGCTATCTCTTGCCTGTTGCTAGCTACTTATTATTGTCTCCTTCTTGACTCTCAATTTGTCCTTCTGAGATAATGCTTTGATACTTTTTCTTTTTTACATTAGTAGGTTTGGGGTAAGGAGTTCAGAGGCTAATCCATGTCCTCAACATGCATCTTTTATATATAATTTTACAAGAAAAGTAAAATGCAGGCTTTTAAAATGTTGTTTCTTTATATTTATTTTGGTGACAGGAATAATCACATGCTATGAGGTTCAACATGTTCTGAAAGGTCATGTATATTTGCTTAAATTTTAGAGGAGCTCTAGAGACCATGGCTGATATCTTTAGCAAGTGTTGAGTCCAAGAGATATTGGAAAGGAAGCAACAATAAAAATTTTGCATTTTTATTGCTAATTATTTTCATTATTATTTGTGATGTCTTGTTATTTTACCTATCCATAAGACCAAAATGACTGATCAGTATAAAAAATTCATTTTTTTCCCTAAGGCAGGTACACAGTGTTTTCAACTTGAAAAAGTGAAGCTATTAAAAAAAAAATTACAGATTTTGCTTTGTGGGTTGTAGAGTTAACCACGCATGCTTTGGATGCTGTTTTTGCTCTCACTTACTAGACAGGTTACTTCCCTCCTGTGCTTCCTTTCTTTGTCTGTAAAGTGAGGGAGATGCCAGCTATTTTGAAGGATTGTGGTAAGCTGTCACTAAATGATAGGCTCTGATACTGAAATAGCTGGAGTAAAGCTAGGATTATAGCTCATCTTAGAGTAAATATTTGTCCTTTAGAATAAATATTCATGTGCATTTCCATCTCTTGCATTAACCATAATTGTAGGCCCTATGAGTCAGGAACTCTGCCCTCATCATTGTTTTAGACATCTAGCATGTACCCAACACACATGAACTAAATGGGTGTTTTGTGTAGAACAAGTGAATAAGCCTCAGTTTACACTGGTTGAGTTAATAAGTGAATTTTCTTTTTTCTCAATGTCTTATAATTGAAACGTTCTAGAGATTTTCAGATTGTTGTTAGGAATTCATTTTCTGTCTGCTTTGCACATTATTAATACTTCTTAGTGCATCAATTTGCATTGTTGACTTTAGTGAAAGAATATGTGTGTGTGTCTGCCTTTAACATGTTATCAATAATAATTGGCCTTTCTTTTTAATTCCCATTCAGGGAAGTGGTGCAAGCAAACTGCGTCCGCTGGAGAAAGAAGTTCTCATTTATGTGCAAAATGAGTGCAAGCGCCACCTCAGGCATCCTAGATCCTTGTATCTACAGAGTATCTGTAAGGAAGGTATAAAAATAACCTATTACTTTTTCACTTTCAGAAACCATAATTAGTTCCACAGTCACTAACTCACTTTATTTAGCTCTGCTTTATTGTTGGAACTGTTAAACTATATGTAATTTCACTTCCATTTATAGCAATGATTTAAATTCCTGTGGCAACTATGATAAAGAATCTGAAGCTATAAATTAAACTATTCAATAACCTTTATCTCACTGTCACTACGCATATACACATTAACCATATTTGTATTAACTTGGGGATTATATGTATATCGTGCCATTTATTAAATTCCTATTCTTTGATAGGTATTGCTCTGGAATATATTTATTCACATTCGATAACAACTCTGAAATTAGGTGTTGTTTTATCTTTTTCTTTTTAGGAAAACTAAGGCTCAGAGGAATAAAAGTACTTGCCAAATTTATACTGTTAATAAATGGTAAAGGAGGGATTCAATCACAAATCTTTCTGATTGCAAGTCAGTCTTTTACTTTTTATATATTTCCTTTCTACATACTAGGTTGAGCCATATTAACAATAATCTACAAAAGTGACAGTTTTACATGGTTCATTTTATACACACAGGCACACACACACACACAGTCCTGCTTATTTGGGGAGAGAGCTGGTAAAAAGAAGTACTGTATTAGTCAGTGGTACTAGTAAACTAGCTTTAAAATGTAAACTTTATACACATTATCCAAATTGAAGATAAATAAATACTATTCCAATTATATTTTTGAAAGATGAGCTATAAGTCTTTGAATTTTAAGAAAAATGAATATAAAGTAAATTTAGAGTAAAGCATAACTGAGTTGAAGAAACTCAAAGTCTACAAAATCATAACAAAGAAGAACTAATGCTCTTTAAGTAAGCTTTATTCATCTGAAATACTCTTCACCCAGTTCCTCAGATTATAAGGGTTCGGTTTATTAATTAGCTGCTGCACAGACTCAAATAAGCAATGGCTTAAGGAAGACAGATGTTGTGTCTCTCTAGGGCGGTGATAGCGAGCCTCATAGAGCTTTCAGTAACACAAACAGCCCACTGCAGCATGTGTGCCAGAGGTTTGGCACCAGTGCTCTAGGGTAACAGCCATCTCATCCAAGAGAGCTACTCCAGTCTCCCAAACCAGTGACATAAAAACAAATGCATCCCTTTTGAAGACGTGACTCTAAGTGTGCATATCTTACAGGTTAGAATGCAGTTAGGTGACCATACCAAATTGAAAGAAAGGCTGTGAACCTGAGGCATAGCTGGCCAACAGTTCTAAAGTTAGAGAAAGGGAGAATGGATATAGTAAACCACTAGCTGCTTCTGCTGTACATGGCTAGATGGTGACATTTATTGAGTTCATTCTACATAATCCTTCCTAGTTAGTGTATAAAAGATTAGTGAACAACTATATAAAAATGTTGTACAATGCAAAAAATACTATAAACAAATTCATAAATTAGAAAAAATATTTGCAAATCATGTCAAACAACTGATCCCCTTAATTTAGGAAGAGCACCTATGAATAATAAAGTGATCAACAATCATTTAGAAAAATAGCCAAGTGGCAGAGTATATATTTCATAAAAAAGAAAGTATAAACAGCTTTTAAACAAAATATACTCAAACACACACAGATTCAAATTGTGACTAAGATACAATTTTTTAGCTAGCCAACGAAAACCAAAAGTTTGATAATGTACTCTGATGCCTAGGTGCAGCAAAGCACTCAGTCACTAGTCAACAAATGTGTGAATGCTTACAGTGTGCTCTAAATATTGAGGACAAATGTGAGCCAGAATGAGGTCATCCTCGAGGACTTTATTTTCTGGTAGGAGTTGGGCAAGAAGTGATAGGAAAGCCAGAAAGTAAGCACATAACCAAATAAGATTGTTTTAGATAATGATAGTGCTAAGCATAAAGTACTGTGAGGGTAATAAAGAGTAACTTGGAGAAGAGAGATTAGTTTAGAAAATTGGAGAAAGTTAATAAAAAGTTAACTAGAAGGTAACATTTGAAGGAAGGTAGCCATATAAAGATGTAGCAAAGAGTTAAAATTATAGTTCAATAGTAGAGCACTTGCCTATCACTCAGGAGGGCCTGAGTTCAATAGCCAGGCACACACACACACACACACACACACACACACACAAAGACCAATTACAGGAGTAAGACCTAAAAATAAAAGGACATTGTATTAGTTCCCAGGATTCTTGTGACAAAATACCACAAACTGGGTGACTTAAAGCAACCAATATATAGACAGTCTCCATTCTGGAAGTTAGAAATCCAAAACTAAGATGCCAGCAGGGCCATGCTCCCTCCGGCACCTCCAGGGAAGAAACTGTTTCATGCCTCTGTCCTAGGTTCTGTAGTTTCAGAATAAAGATTCTATCCTATCCTCAAGGACTTGACTTCTGGCAATCTTTACTTGAAGAAATCCTTGACTTGATGGCTGGGGCTTTAGCTCAGTGGCATAAGCACCTGCCTGGAAAGCACAAGATTATGAGTTTGATCCCCAGTACCAAAAAAAAAAAGAAAAGAAAAGAAAAAGAAATTCTTGGCTTGTAGACACACTACTCAGTTACATGACTGTTTTCTCCCTTTGTAGTATAGTTTAGACAGAAAAAGAATGCTAGATGTGGAGTACCCAAGCCTGTCAAATACTTTTTAGAGACTAAGTATGATGAAGACAGAGCCTTTGGCTTTAATAAAATGAAGATCACTGAAAACTGTAAAAACTACTACAGAGGAGAAATGGAGACAAAAGCCCAATCGGAGAGAGCTGTGCATAGACAGTCAAATGTAGTAGTCATTTTGGGGGGTTGGGAAGAGTCCACAAAGAGGAATTTAACATCATCACATGTTTACTGTCCATTGATACTAAGAAACTACTTAGTTTCTTATGCATATGCTTAAAATTAAGCATATGCTTAATTTTAAATCTTTAATTATTTGATAACCTTATGGTGCTTTCTATCTTTCACAGGAGTTAAAGGGTGGAAAAGCTTATGCAAAGGTAAGTAGATTTGCTTCTACTCTTTAGTAACTTGTAATTTAGCTCTTTGCTTTCTATAGGCTTAAAAATTAAATGACTTAGCTTCTAATTGTTGACTCTTTTTTAAGTAAAGGAATTTGAAGATTGAAGGGCTGTATCCAACAATAAAAGACATAGTCTTTCTTTCTAATTTCCTATTATGGTGTGTTTAGTTTTAGCTTCCTTACTAGAGAATGATCTCTAGTTTCCTTGAAGTTCTATCAGATAATTCAGTCACCTGGGACATATTCCCAGGCCCTCCTGTCCTCAGTGGAATAGAAACTTTTCTCTGTGTCCTCTTTGCACTCAATATACATTCTTCGGTTGTATTTACAGTGGATTGGTTCCAGTACCCTCCCCAACCCCAGAATAACAAAATCTAAGATTGTTCAACTCAGGTCTCTTATATAAAATGGCATACTGTTTACATATAACATACATTTTCCCATATGCTTTAAATCATTTCTCTATTCCTTATGATACTTAATATAGAAATATGATGTATGTGGTTGTTTTGCTCTGTTGTTTAGACAGCAATGACAAGAATAAATCTATGTGTATTTAAGAGAGTCACAGCTTTTTAATATTTTCCATCCATAATTGGTTAAATTTACAGATGCAGAACTTGGAAACACAGAGGGAAAGCAATGATCTATTGCACTTTGTTTCTTTTATTAGCTACATGAAATTATTAGTGTGCTCAACTTTTTGCTGAATAGGAAGAATGAGTAATTGTTAATACTACCAGAAATCTACATATTTCTCTTTTATTTACATTTTCTGTAAATGGTACATGCATCATTCCAGTCCTTTGAAGCAAGAACCTGGACTAGTTTTAACCACCAACTAGACAAAATAACTAGTTGTTTATAAAGTCACCTGGGATGTTCTTTGCTGCAAATAACAGAAAACTTTCCTCAACTTGAGATTTTTTTTTAACCTCACAGAACAAGTAGATGTGATATTGAGCTGTTTGGTTAACTTGCTGGCTGAGAAACCTCATCCAGAACCCATATTTTTCTCTTTCCACTGTCCTGTTCTCTGTGTGATGCCTTTGCTCTTGGCTAGTGCTTCTCCTGAACACTAGATGTCTGGCTGTTGAAGTTTTAGTCAACACATTTACCTATTAGAAAATTAAAATAAGATCCTATCATTCCCCCACTTTTACTCCTTAAGCAGCTATTTCTTGCATATAAAGGTCATTTAAAATTTTGTAGTGTAGCATATAAGATACATTTTAGTTTGCAAATTATTTCTGCTGCTTCATCTCTTCTACATATTTACCATCTGGATTCTCTCTGTCTCTCATCCTTACGAAGCTGATGCTATCATGAACTTCCTGGATTGTCTCTGCTTATTTTAGATTCTTTGCCTTGTGACTTAATGTTTTCCCAGCCATGCATGTATTTCTGACTTCTCTTGTCTTGTCAACTCATGTGTCATTAAAGATTCAGCTTAATCATCCTTCCCCATTGAGAACTTTTCCTTTTCTCTCTTGTAAGTGTGTCTTTTTCAATCATAGCATTTAGCAGATTATACTATAGGAATTTCTTTTTCTGGGGCTGGGGATTTAGCTCAGCGGCATAAGCGCCTGCCTTGCAAGCAGGCAGTCGTGAGTTCGATCCCCGGTATCAATAAAAAGGAAAAAGACAAAAAAAAAAAAAAGGAATTTCTTTTTCTATTTTTAATGCATTATTAACTATGAGAATAAGAGTGATTTTATATGGACCAGATGTATAACTCAGTGGTAGGACACCTCTAGGATGCACAAGGCCCTGGGCTCAATCCCTAGCACTGGAAGAAAAAAGTGCCGTGTTTCCAATATTTAACATTACCTGGAACATGGAAATAATTTTTTAATAAGTTAATGGCTAGCATCAATACGGCTGTATGTGTATGTATGTTATTTTCATAAGACAGTTATTTTGGTAAAACCAAAGAAAACATGCACTGTCTAGTATCTCCCTATAATGTAATCTCTTTGAAGCTAGAGCATTTGTCCTATTGTTCACTGTTTTTGTGTTTAAAACAGCCTGGCACATAAAAGGTGCACAATAAATATTGACCTCACTCATAACCTTTAGCCTAACATCATATTGACCTGTTCTGCCTTTTAATATAGTTTCTTAGTGGAGACTTAAAGTTTGAGCTCCTCTGACGAATTACCATGAACAACAGAAATTTGTTTCTCATATCTCTGGAGGCTGGAAAGTCCCAGAGCAGGGTGCTGGCAGAGTGCAGTCTCGTGAGAGACCCCGCTTGTGCACAGATCCCTGGCTACTCATTATGTTCTCACATGGCAGGGAGCAAAGAGAGAAGCAAGCTCTTTCCTGTCTGTGTAAAAGGAATTAATCCAGGGCTGGGCATATAACTCAGTGATAAAGCATGTCCTTAGCGCACGCACACACACACACACACACACACACACACACACACACACACAACCTATGCTTGACGATTCCATCTTTCTGATCTAATTACTTCTAAAAGGTTATATCACACATCACTAATACCATCCTTTTGGGATTAAGTGTTTCAATATATGAATTTTGTGGAAGCACAAACATACAGTGCATAAGAGACTAATCAGATCTTTTAACACAGTGGCAATATTAGTATTATGGCAGTGAATAGTAAGACAGTGGACTGTCTTTTACCTAACAAATGCATATTAAGATCCCATCATGTGCCATTTTTCCTGGTGTCATTCTAAGTACTAGACACAACAGGGAACAAAACAGACAAAAATCCCTGCCTTTATGGAGCTTACATTCTAACAAGAAGTAGAAGGGTAAGGGACAGACAAGTAAATAAATGTAAAATATGTTTGGGCATGGTAGATAAGATCTAAGGAGAAAAATGAAGCAGGTAAGGATAAAGAGTAATAGCTACAGGCTAAGACCTGGACAAGCGATACACTTTAGGATGCTCAGAAGGATGCTTTAGAGCAATGACATGGAGTGTTGATGTGAATAGAGTAAAAGAGCTACAAGACCATGTGAGAGAGCATGTTTCAGCAAAAAAAGAAGAGTTAAAGTCCTTGAGGTGACCTTGCCATCTTTAAGGAACACAGCATTGTGGTTGACAGGGAGGAAATGATGTTAAACAAATGGTCAGGAACTGTGGAACTGGAGGCTTAGCCAACATTTTCAGGACATTTTGCCTGGGGCTAGGGAACAGAAAAATGATCTAACCGCCTAGTGAGAAATGTGGGATGAGGTTTGGTTTGGTTTTGTTCGTTAAGAAAGGAAAAACTTAAGTGTATTTATGTGCTAATGAGAACAATCCCAAAGAGAAGGGCAATTTTAGACTGCCAAGGAACAGAAAAAACAGCTGCAGTAATAAAAGTGAATGAGAGCAGTCGGCCTTGGGAACTCAGCCAGTATGTCCTTCCTTCTGTGAGCGGAAAGACAAATAAATGTGTGGGGCAGGTGCAGGTAAATGGGTGGAAGAGGTTGGAAGGGCCTGGAAGTTAAGTGCTCTTTGGACTGCTCTTATTTTCTGAAATTGGAAGCAAGGTCAGCAGGGTGGTGGAGAGCAGGAAAGAGGCATTGGAGGTTCAAAGAGAAAGGGAGAATAGATGAGATAGGGTGTGTTCATAATGTATGACCTAGTAAGTAACTTCAGTCCTCACATGCTCAGATGAAAGTCATTTTGCCCTGGACATATCCAGACTTCTGCTGCTGCTGTATTAGCCTCCTAAAGGCAGTAAGACCAGAGTAACAATGTGAAAATTAGATAGATGTTACCTGTAGCTTGATGTGTGCCTGACGTGTTGGGGCTTCAGCCATTCCCTGGGTTAATCTTTTCTTTTCTACCAGTTAAAAGCTACTGAAATAATGTTACAGTCTACAATTAAAACCTTCATCTGAATACCATTCTGTGTGCTTTAAAATCTTCTAAAAATTCATTTTTTATTAATAAGTGACTCTACACAAACTTAGTCCTGAAGAATAAGCTTGATTTATTTACAAAATATAATTATATAATGAGTTTGTTTCTAGTACCACTTCAAGTAAGAAATAGGGTTGAGCAACATTGGAGGAAAAACTGTAGAACAACTTTGAGTAAATGTAAAAAATTGGACCAAACCTGAGTAGTAATGAAGAAGAACAGGTTTAAACGGAACTTTTGGGTGGCAGCAAAGAGGTTAGTTATGGAGCAGAGCTGTGAGATAGGTAAAAAGTTCCTTAAAGAATGATTCAGTGCAAGGATGATCACCGAGGAGGATGTCTTGGAAACTGAGAGAAACAAAGAGGTTTGTACCAAAGAAAATCTGTGATTCACTTAAGAGAACTGAAAACCTGAAAATGGCAATACTTACTGGGGGTTAACAGCATAGAGTGAGAACCAAAATAGAGAGAGTCCAGTCATTTTTCTGTTCGGATATACAAATGATCGTGATTGGTTTGTTGGTATTTTCCATAGTGTGGTGTAAGTGCCACTGCTATATGCAGTGATTTTAGTTGTATGATACACATTAATTTTACCATAACACTATTGTATTTATTTTCGTATACATGGAAAAATATATGTCACACACTAGATCTGTGATATATGAAAGATTGTATGTGATATATCAGAGAATAAAATAGATAATAAGTTTTCATTGAAAAAGCATACCAGAGCTAGGAATGAGCTGAGCAGCATGGTGCCTCCTTGGCAAGTGCAAGATCATGAGTTCGGTCCCTGGTACCAAAAAACAGAAAAAAATCAAACCGATTTATGGACACTTATAAAGCAAATAAAACAACAGGTACTGTTAAGGTGGCAAAAACTGCCAAGACTGAAATTTGAGAAGGCTTGTCTAGGGAATGGATTGAATGTTTATTTTAAGAAGAATATGGTAGAAGCCTCTAGATGTTCTATTAATATTACTCTCTTTCTTTTCATAGCTGGGATTTGCAGATTTAAACCTGGCAGAGTTTGCTGGATCAGGAAATACTACTCGTCGCTGTTTACTGGAAGGCTATGATACCAAAAATACAAGACAGGATAACTCCATTCTTAAAGTAAGCACACTACAAGATTTACATGCCAACCAATGGGATCCCCTGCATTTCAGCAATCATAGTAGGTATATCTTTCAAAGACAGGATGTCTAATGAGAGCATAAGCTAACCACACCGCTGAAATACCACCTGGGGGAATTGAAAAACCCAGTCCAAATCAAAGGAGCAGCGAAAGGTAGCAGGTTTTGGCCTTCGTGATGCTAAGGTGTTTCTTGTCTGCTACAACTTCTACAATGTAATTGCTCATTTGGGAGCAAAGAAATGAATAAAGACCTTAAACTGTCCGTAGCTTCTAAAAGGTGATTTCTTCAGCACTGTGATATATCCCTAGAAGTCCCTGGGTTTTCTTGTGCCTAGGGGCGTGACAGGCAAAACTCAACTCTGGCATCTGCCCTGTGTTTCCCAAATACCATCAGGAGCTGAGTTCTAGTAATCACCTTGCACCTCCTCGCTCACGCTTTTTCTTTTCATCCCTTCTCCTGTCCTCTCTTTCAGATGACTTCACCATTAATGTAGGTGAGCTATTCTCATGAACTGTCTTCTCTATATATTCTGTCATGACCAGCTGATCTTAAATGTGCCTAACACTTCTCACTTCTTAGCCCATTTCCAGCAGCATTTTCTTTTTCAATTTCTTCATCCCTGGCTACATTTTCAATTTTCTTATCCCTGAAGTAGGCCTCTTCCAAAACTTCAGATGAAGTTTTCCCCTCCCTTACCACTGTCTCTTATGATCTGTCCCTTTTGGTCTACTCTCCTAGCTATCATCAATCTTTCCACTTTCTCACTTTGCCATTTTCTCATTATTTTTCAACCCCCACTTGCTTCTCCTCTTGCTTTATCCAGCTTTAATTCCATGATCCATGAGAACCATATTCTTAATACGACTCTTGACTGTTTTGCCCATTTCTCCTTCTTGAATAATCTCCAACCCTAATTGACTTCCACTCTGTCTTCCCTGAGTCTGGATATTGCTGGAGAAGATCATATGACCAGGCTGGCTGGCAAGATTGAAGTAAGGCTCACCACCATCTGGCAGTGTACTCTACTCCCTTTCTCAACTTTAGTTTATTTCATCTCTTCTTTCTCCTGTCTCCTCACACCCCTCTTGTTTTAAGTCAGTGGTCTTACCTTAGCCTTTATTAAGGACTTAAAATCTGTTAAATTCAAATCCACTGTCTTCCCATCACAAACTGACAATGCTACCTTTCTCTCCAGCCTCCTGTTGAAATGCATGGAAAGCCAAGTAGCCTTTCTCTTATGCTTCAGAATCCAAAACTAGCCTAACTGAGGGTTTTTCTTCTTGGATTATTTTCTCTCCTAATCATCTCTCCCTCTAATAAACGATTCTTATAAGCATACAAACAGCTCTTGTCACCCGTTCCCTTTTTGTGGCACTGAGGACTGAACCCAGGCCCTTATGCTCACTCGCCATGTACACCACCATCCTGCTATATCTTTTTAAGAAGACAAAACCAGTATCTCCTCTCTTCCAATCTTAGTCTTCTCTATTCTACCGCACTATACAGTTCCCTAAAAGGAATGTGCATGCACACATGCACCTGTGTGTGATCTCCATCTTCTTTCTGGGACATTCAGGACATGCAAGAGTATTGTCTGATGGAGTTGGAAATCAGATCATAGGGTTCTATGAAACAAGAGATCATGAGAAAACCAGTATAGCAGGATGTTTGCCTTTTAAAGAGGATAGTAGTGGAAGCCCTGAGATGAAAAAAATCTGAAGGAAATAAAGTTAGAGAAGGTATACAGCAGCCTTTAGCTGGAAAACAGTAATCATATACATATCTGTTATTTATTGAGACCATGAAGTTTAGGGCATGAAGTCCTATATTCAGGTCTCATCTCTGCCCTCCGTTAGCTCCCTGATCTTGAAAATATCATTTAATCTCTCTAGGTTTAAAATGACAGTATCTATCCTATTCATAGAAATATTGAAGATTAAAGAAGTGAAACGTGTAAAACATTTTGCTCATTCCTGGCACATTATAAATTTTCCTCTCATAATCTTTGTTAATGTTGTTGCTGTTATTACCATTATTATTCCCATAAGAATGTGAGATGGGCCCGGCACGGTGGCACATGCCTGTAATCCTAACACTCGGTAGCTGAGGCAAGAGAATCTCAGTGAGTTCGAGGCCAGCCTGAACTACATAGTAAGAGCCTGTCTCAAAAAAGAAAAAAGGAATATGAAATGATACTTAAATAAAGGTAGTCAGCAACCAGAGAGTGATATTTCAGAAGGAATTAGAAGAAGCTTTAAGTGATCTAAAGCTAGAACAAAGGCCAAAAACTGTGTGCTCATAGAAGCCACCAGCAGGCATCCAGGGAAGCATTAGCATGGCAGAATGCAAGGAAACATCACCAGATGCTTCAATACCACAGAAATCTGGGAATAAAGACACATAAACCAGGTCAGTACAGCCCCACACACCCAAAAAGTTCATTACTGGGGAAGCACTTGCATTTTATTCTCATCTCTTCCACTCTTGATTTTTGAAATTGCAAGATTTTGAATGTTAAAAATGAATTTTAGCCTGTCTATAGAAAGCAGTTATTTGATACAGATATAACCCAAGTCAACAATGACTTTATTTAATGTTTTTTAAATAGAAAATACTGGATTACATACTGTTTGGGAAGCATTGATTCGGAGAACATGGATTCCATTCTCAAAAAACCTTTTATAATATTTATTGTTCTTATGTTTAGGTTTTGATCAGTATGCAACTGATGTCTGGTGATCCATGTTTCAAAACGTAAGTTGATGCCAAACAAGTGTACTTACCTGAAAGTATAACAGACATTTGTTTAAATGTGTGTGTTAATATTTTATGGTTTTTTCAAGCAATTAGATCCTTTCCTGGGAGACAGACTTCACCTGCATAGAAGTTACTGTTGCCTATTACCAAATGACCTCTATATACTCTAAATTACTTAAATTATAGGTCTTTTGTCATTTTGAGGCTTTAGTAAAAGCATATTTTAAATATACATATTTGTATACATATACATTAAATATACATATAAGTATATTTTTTAAAGTATTGGTATAATCAAAATTCTCATCCAACAATGAGAAAAATAAGGCACAGAGGAATAAAGTAACTTGATCCAGTATCTGTGTGTAGCACAAATATCTGAATAACTGCTAGAGGAGTTCATTCTTCTAGTCTCACTGCTTTTGTCTATTTTCGAATATTTCATGATGCAGAATTAGAGAAACTAATAAAGAGTACAGTGGGCTTGGGTACAGGTCAGTGGCAGCATGCCTACCATGCTTAACGCTCTAAGTTTAATCCTTAGAACCACACACACAAAACTACAGCTATCTTTAGCATTCTCAGATTTAAATTCTACTTTTAATACTTTAAGAGCAGAAGATTTGTTACATATATTGTGTAATTTTTCTGAAACCTAAATTTTATACTGTAAAGCCAATATTTGCAAAAAAAAAAAAAAAAAAAAAGACAGCTAGCAAACCAATCTAGCCACCTACCCCTAAACACTAAATTGAGTTTTGTAGTTCTCTACAATTTATCAAGTAGCCACCAGTTCTTGTAAAATGATGAAACTGATCTGATGAAGAAAAAAGAATATTTTGAGAGAGAAATTGTATGCTGTAGTTGCATAATCTTGTGAAAAGAAAATCCCAGATGACGTAATTCTCTTAAATAGTGATCTTCTGGCACTTTCATATTCTAAAAGAAACAAATTACCATTTATCAAAGTGATTTCATAAATGTCACTGTCTCTCAGTGTAATTCTTGAACATCTCTGTGATACTTTTGAAGGAGGATGTAAAGGCTTAGAGCAAGCAGCTCATTTGTCCAGAGCCCCAGGATTCACACATACATGTGCTTATGTATTGATTTCCTGCTATGTGCTCATATTGGCCTGACCGACCCAGCTAAATAACACCTGCTCCTGCTCTGGCCAGATTCACTTGTGTGAAAGATTTACACACAACAGGAGAGTCACTGAGGCATAGAAGATAGGATCACCAACCACTGTCCCTTGAAAGCCTTGAAAATGTTCACTGAGTAGGTGGCACTGAGCTAAATTTTAAGATAAATAGGAATTTACTAAGCACAGGCGATGGATGGAGATGGTCCAGAAAGGAAAAACAATTTGCACAAATTCATGGCACTGTCACAGCTCATGGGATAGTTATGGACTGTCCAGTGGGTAGTGTTTTCATTTTAGGAGGTCATTTTTGTTTTGTTTTGTTTTTTGTTTTTTGGTACCGGGGATCAAACTCACAACCTTGCACTTGCCAGGCAAGCACTTAAGCCACTGAGCTAAATCCCCAGCCCCCATAGGAGGTCATTTTTTATCTGCGACACTTCCAGCCTCCTTCAACATAATCTTAACATTACTGTAAAATTAAAATAACCCCCTCTCTTTTGTTCTATAGCTTAACAAAGTATAATTGTTGGTAGTTCAAGACACAGGTCTAGACCAGACCTCAAAGGGCCTTGTATTCCATCTTTATGAGCTCGAACTTTATCCTAAAGGAAGTATAGAAGAGTTTTTAAAACAGAAAGTCACGTTTTCAGAAAATGCAATCACAGAAGTATGGAGTCGAGTTTGCCAGGCCATCAGGAAGCCTCAGAGTCACCCAGACGAAGGCCAAATTTCAAGGAGTGAGTTAGTTTTCCAGCAAATGACATGCTTTTATTCTTTATGGTATAGTAGTACTCTATTGTACATAAATATATTTTCTTTATCCATTCATCTATTGATGGATGGATAGTCTACTTCCAAGATTTAGCTATTGTGAGTAACATGTGATTTTTAGCCTTGATTCTATTTATATGATTATTATATTTGAGTTACATATGTTGAACCATCTTTGCATCCTTGGGATAAAGCCAATTTAGCCATAGTTTATGATCCTTTTAATGAGTTACTGAATTTTGTTTGAAAGTATCTTATTGGAGATTTTTTACATTTCTTTTAATCAAGGAATTTGGTCTGTAATTTTCCTTTTTTTTCCTTGCCCTATTTTGTTATCACGGTAATGCAGGATGCATGGAATGAATTTAGAACCATTCTTTCCCTTTCAGTTATATAGAATAGTTTAAGGAGTATTAGTGTTAATTCTTCTCTAACACCATAAGAAAATGTTTCAGCCAAATTATCCACTAATATTGCATAATGTATACAATTGTTGATCATATATAGGACATTATAATCAGGAAAAGTTTTTGTCAACATGATTATCACCTGCCAACCTAGGTCGCTGATAAAATTCAGGGGTAGATCCATCAGGTCCTGGGTTTTTCTTCATTGGTACAGTTTTTATTACTGCTCAATTTCATTGCTTTTTATTGGTCTGTTCAGGATTTTTGTATCTTAGTTTCGTAAGTCATATGTGTGTAGAAATTTATCCATTTCTTCTAGATTCTACAATTTATTGGACTACAAGTTTCTAATGATTCTTTAGATTTCTAGTATGTTGTAATCTGCCTTTTTAATTTCTAATTTTATTGATGTGGGTCTTTTCTTTCTCTTTAGCTAAGTTTGGCTGAGAGTTTATCAGTCTTATCCTTTTAAATAATCAACTCATTCATTGTACTGGTAGAAATGGTGGTCATGAACTTCTTTAGTTCATCCTTATCATGGGACATCTTTTTGTTTTTTTCTTGTGATTTTAAAGGATAACTTTCGAGGATACAGTAATCTGGGCTGCTGGGTATTTTCTTTTAGAGCTTGAAAAGTTTTACCCAACACCTTCCTGGCTTTTCAGGTTTGTGTGGAGAAATCTGCTATTATTCTGATGTGTTTGCCCTTATAGATCACTTAGCATTTCTCTCTAGCAGCTTTTAGAATTCATTCTTTGAGTTTCTAACATTTTGACTGTGATGTGTTGGGGAGAGGTTCTTTTTTGGTTGTATTTTGGGTTCTAAATGTCTCCTTTTCCTAGGTATTGATTTCCTTACCTACTTTTAGGAAATTTGCTCCAATAATTTCATTGAATAAATTTTCTGTTAGCCTCTATATCATTCCATTCATCAAATTCAGTATTCCTTAAATTTGTTCTGCATATAGGAGCTCTTTGATAATCTTTTGATTGTCTCTTGTTTTTTCTTCATTACAGACTGTATGAACTCTGTCTTCAAGTCCTGATATCCTTTCTTCTGACTGATCTTGCCTACTGCTGAGACTTTCAGTTGTGTTTTTTGTTTCCAGAATGTTTGCATGCTTCCTTTTCATAGCCTCTATATCTTTACTGAAGTGGTCTTGATATCTAGCATTGTCTTCTGGCTGTTTGTACTGTGGACCCTTGAGTTTTGAACTCAGTTTGTTCCCAAGGGCCGGTTGTAACTGGGGTTGTCAACTGACGGCTCAAGCCCCTTTACACAGCTTCGAGTCTCTCTGCTGTTCACAGGCAGATCTCAGTGTCCTTAGAGAGACATTGGTCCAGGATTTCTCAATAACCTCATACAGGAAAGGATGTAGTAATGTTTCTTCTGGAATTCTTAAGAGTAAAATCTGTATCTGAGGCCATCTAGAAGCACAAGCTGCTCAAGACTTTGGTCAGAAGTTAAAACTGAAATTCTGGCCATAACCCAGGTAGTTCATATGTTAGGACAGTCATAACTCTGGAATCCACTGCATCTTTTTTAAGTTTATTGATCATCTTAGTAATTGATTCATTCAGCTGCTTATAGTTGGCTTTCTTTAATATCTTTAATCATTTTAACTATTAGAGTTTTTCATTCTTCAGAATTTCATCCACATCAGTCTATAGGGCCAGCATTTAGAGAGTTACAAAGTTTTAGAGGCATGTTGTTGCCTTATTTTTTTCATGATTCTTGTGTTTAAATTTATAGATTAGTTAGGATAGAAAACTGCACTATTGTGGCAATATCTTTAACAAGTGAACTTCTCCCTGTGATGTTTTGAGTGTAACTCAGCTTGAAGGCACCCAGTTAACCTATTCAAAGTACTAGGTTAAATCCCTAGCACAGCACTGTGAGGCAAAAACAACTACCAGTAATATCAATATCGAGAGAACCAATGATACATCAACATATAATTTAAATTTTGTTTTTAAAATTTGCAACTCTTTCAAAAACGCAGGAAGACAAAGGAATAGTAATAATAAAGGAAAGGCTAAGAAACAAGAAAAATAAGAAAAAGAAAAAAATGAAAGAAAAATTGTGATATACTATCTGTATACCTAGAAATGAGGTAGGAGACAGGTTTGAGAGACTTCAATGGGGGAGGGAAAAAAGAAAGGTTTAGAGAGAGACAGAGAGAGAGAGAGAAGGGCGTCAGGCAAATATAAATGAAAAATGAGATATGATATGTGTCAGTTTGACCCAGTAAGTAAACTAGCAGAAACACAAAGTTAGATGACCAAAGAAACAACCTTTATGAGGGAGAACTTGACAGACCAAGGTAAGACACTACAGTCAAAAGCAACAATTAACTGTTACACACAGTTGTTTACACACATGCCCCACACATACAAACCATAAGAAAATAGGTTTTAATTACAGTATTTGCCAGACCTGTGGCGCACCCCTATAATACCAGCACTCAGGAGTGTGAGGTAGGAGGCCAGCCTAGGCCACATAGTGAAGCCATGTCTCAGATGACCAGAAAAAAAAAGCATTACACACAAGAAAAGAAAGGAAATTTCAAAGGATGTGAGAGGGGAAGGAAAGAAAAGATGAGAAAATATAAATGGAAAGTGAAAAAAGATACAAGGATATTGCATTCAGTTTAATGAACTAGCAGAAACCCTAATTTAGCAAATCCTATGACGCAACCCTTACTGTAGGACATAATGTGACTTGGTGAAATACGGTAGAAGTAAAAGCAATAACTAGGACTTATCAGCACTTAGAACCACAATATACCCCCACCCTGGCACTTACAAAAAGAAACACCATAGGTGACAAAAGAAAAAACAGTCCCACATTCCTCCTATTCCTTGTAATTGTATTTATTTTAGGGTATAAATTAGTCCAGAGTTCTCCTCGGCCTCAGTCCAAACAGGCAAAACCTTGTAACAGAGCTTTGGGAAGTCTGAGCTCTCCACCTCCATGGCTGTGGTTGAGAACTTGGGAAAAGTCCACCAGTGACTGAATTAAATTCCAGCTACTGAGCTAAACTCTCCTGTTCCTGGGGCTGATGGGACTGGAAAATCCAGACTGTCCACAGAATCTGTCACTTGCATACTCTGTGAGCAAGTCCAGTGCATGGGCTAAAGCTCTAGAATGTCCATCCTGTGCTTTTGGAGACATGTTAGCCAGTGTCCATGCACTGTAATCACCCTATTCACCACTGTGCTGGAAAAAGGAAGACTAGGCAGTTACTTAGTACAGACAAGGTTCGTGTGCAGAGGTCTTGGGTCTAACAGGCCCTGTCCTGTATCCATTCCACACATCCCACTGGAGTCTCCAGAATGTGATCTACATGGGACTCCACTGCTTTAGTGATAATACAAATTCAAACTGAGGCAACAACATGAACCTACAGGCAAAAATTTTAACTGAGAAAAGAAAATGGGGAAAGGGCTTTGGCTTGAGAGGGAAGCTAAAGGAGGAACAGCTCTGATTGAAACCAGACTACATTATTTGCTGATGTTCATTACTTTCACGTTCAAAAGGCTGACATTGGGCTGGCAGTGTTGATCAATGGGAGACTGCTTACCTAGCATGCCTGAGACCTGTGGCTTTCTAAGACTGTTCTGCTCACAACCTGTCTCTAACAGTTTATTCCGACTTTCAGCTCACCCAAGATTCTAGCTCTGATTCTTAAAAATGTTTATTTATAGGCCTCCTTCAACGTCAATGTCTATACCAATTGCTGGTGAACCCGAGTCTCTGGAAGAAGACAGAAAAGGTGGAGAGACCCTCAAAGTCCATCTTGGAATAGCAGGTGTGAATTTGTAGCTTACTGGTTTTGTTGTTGTTGTTGTTGTTTGTGACTTGTGACAAACAATACTACTTGATTTCCTAAAAAATCCCCCAAAGGCCTTCCAGATTTAAAATTCTATGGCCATGTGTGTGACCTGAAATGGGCCACTAAGTATCATCAGAGTTTCAATTATAGTTAAGCCAGTGTTTTATTTTGTCCGAAGTGATGTGCTGTGACAGAGTGATAGATAAATGTTGTAATAAACCCCATCCCCACACCCCCCATAAATTGAATGCATTGACTCCACATTTAGAACAGGAGACTTCAAGATCTTTCCCATTCTGCATGCCCAACAGCTTGTGCCAGTAAATCTCTCAGGTGTTGCTTCTGTTCCAGCAGTCTCTTTCCCTCTGCCTGTGCTTCTCAAGCCTTAGCGTACACCCAGATCACCCAGAGGGCTTGTTGAAACAGACTGCTAGTACTACCAGCCAGGATTTTGGACTCAGTAGATCAGGGCAGGTGATGGAACTTGTGCATTACAATCAAGGAGATCCATTTTTTGCAAGAAAACTTTCAGCAAATCAGGATCTCTTGTAGGAATTAGAGTCCAGCCTGGAGGTACACGCCTGTGGTCCCATCTAAGGCAGTAGGATTGCTTGAAACCACTAACTAGTTAGAGGCCAGCCTGGGGGAAAACGTGAGATTATGCTTAAAAATCAAAACAAAAACACAAGCAAACAAAAAAGGTGTGCAAAATGTCAAATTGTCTGGAGGAAAAAGACAGAAGAGCTTCTTTCTATCTCCCAAGTTATGTGAGCAAGATGTATTATTTTATTATTTGAAAGAATAGAAAGAAAGGTGAAATGATAAAATTAACATTTTCATTACCTTTTCAAATGTGTGGTGATATAGTTTCTTGCAGACAATGATAACTATGAAATTTCCTGAATTAAGATCAAGTCCTTTATCTGTTTTTAACTTTTTCATTAACTTCTTTCCCTTCAACATTAAATATCTTAAATTCTGTATTGAGAAAAGAAATACCCACCAACTGCTTCTTCTCTACTGCTGGCTTATCAACTCTAGCAGGCTGGTACTTGTTATCAGACAGAGAGAGAGAGAGGGAGAGGGAGAGAGACAGAGAGAGAGAGAGAGAGAGAAGGGGGAGAGAGAGAGAGAGAAACAGACTGTACTTGTTATCAGATAGAGACAGACACAGATCAATATAGATTTAGTAGATTATTTGTTGGTCCAACTGTGTACAGTATCATTTACTGAATTGCTGCTATAATGACTATATTCCTGTCCTGCTTCTAGAGTAAAAGAAGTTGTAGTTTCACCCTAATTTAAACAATTTTGCATTGTGCAGAGGAAGCCTGCTCCTAGAAATACATAATTAGTATCTGGAATATGCATGTGACTAGAGAACTGTACCAGAAGTGGCTTTAGTACTGCTTTTTTTTTTATAGATATACAAACTGATAAGAATGAGTACTGTCATCAGTTTCTAAAGAAACTTTTCCTCAGTGCTACATTCCATGCTGTGTTGATGTAAACCACAGATATTGCCCACATTATAGCCTAGCACTAGCAGCACTAACACTAGAATAGTAAAGTATTCTTTAATTTACCACTGTGTTGGATTTTGGAGGAAGCAAGATTTCCTCAAAAACTGTGAAATCCTAGTGAATTTTGTGAGAGCATATGAGAATAAACCTTACTTTCTTCTGTTTAAGAAGTGCTAAACACAATAAAAATAATATTAATTTATTAATTTTAAGATAGAGTGCTGGTAAATGTTACTAAAAATACTGTAATTCTTCAGTGAACTAAAATATTTAAGGAATTTCTTTTTAGCTGGGTGCGGTGGCACACACCTGCAAACTCAGCACCCTCAGAGGCTGAGGCAGGAGGTTTGTTATTTGAAATCATCCAGGATAATTTAGCAACTTAATGAAACCCTGTCACAAAATAAAAAACTAAAAAAGAACTGCAGACATAACTCAACCCAAAGTCCCCAGTGCTACACACACACACACACACATTTAAGTTTTTTGTTGTTGTTTCTTTCAATGCATTTTTCCCTTTTACTGGTTTAGAAGGATCTCTGTCACTTTCTAGCCTATTTTTCTTGGTAATGAACTTGGCATAGTTTACAAATGCAGATTATAATACAAATTGATCATTAACTTGTTTGAAGTAATTTTAATGCCATATTGTGACATATTACAGATCTTTCAGCAAAGAGCACCTCTGTTCCTGATGAACTGGGTGCCTGTGGACATTCCAGAACATCAAGCTACGCAAGCCAGCACTCCAAAGTATCAGGTAGAGGTTAATAGTAAAATTGAATTCCTTGTTGTTCCAAGGGGTTTTGAAAGTGCTGTGGTATAGAAGGACTTTATAGATTGCAGTATGTGTGACATTAGTATCATATCCAAAGTGATTTTTCTCTGACAGGATATAGCACATGTCATTCCCGGTCATCTAGTTTCTCTGAGTTCTGCCACAGAAGAAATACTTCAGTGGGAAGTACATCAACAGGAATTGAAAGTATTTTAGAGCCTTGTGATGAAGTGGAGCAGAAAATAGCTGAACCAAATCTTGATACCGCTGATAAAGAAGATACAGCCTCTGACAAACTCAACAGGTATCCTTTTAGTTTAAAAGATAAGTTTAAATCTAATTTTTTGTTTTCATAACGTAATAAAAAGGAATTTTTAAAAAACTGTGATTGTTTTCAAAGATGCCCAATGAAACAGGATTCCGTAGAATCTCAGCTGAAACGAGTGGATGACACCAGAGTGGATGCAGATGATGTTGTGGAGAAGATACTACAAAGTCAAGACTTCAGCCTAGACTCCAGTGCGGAAGGTATGTAGAGAACTGTCGGGGATACACTGCAGTAAATCCAGGTCTGTGTAGTCCGTGTCAGCAGCAGGGAGGAGGCAGTCCATCGTGCTGTTACTGCATATTGGTAAAATAAACTTCATGCCCATAAAAATCTCAAGATAACTTTGTAGCTCATTTCTGAGAATGAATACTGAATTTGGAAAATGAACAAATTTTAGTTCAAAGTGATCAATTTTAGGGAATGTACTTCAGTGGTAGAGCAAGTACTTAGCAATCCCTAGCACGCCCTAAAAAGAAAGAATATTTAAAGAAAATTTTGCCTTCATATTATGGTTTAAGGCCTCCCACATTCATTCCTTTCAATAGCTACATTCTGTCTGCCATAATGCTTCAGGTCTCTTATAATTTAGAGGGTTGAGACCATGGTCTTAAAACAGGAGTGAATAACAGAGTCCTTCAGTCTCTCCTTAGTATTTTCCCTGAAACGATAATTTATATGCTCCAGTTTGAAAGGTACAATTACACATGCTAATACTTAAAGAGAGTACTTAACAGTGAAGATGAAAATTTGTAGGAAGCGCTGTATTCAATACTCAGCTAAAGGACCTTTAGGAAAACTGATAAGAAGTAACTGTTAGTATAATTTATAAATTGCCTGGTTTTTAATTCTTTAGCTCTTATTAAATAAACTGAAATGTGAAATATGAATTACTATAGCATGAATTAGATGACTGTAGTCTCATGATTGTACGTACAACAGACATTTTCCTTGTATATTGCAGAAGAAGGATTGAGGTTATTTGTGGGTCCTGGGGGAAGCACAACCTTTGGCAGTCATCACCTTCCAAATAGGTAGGTAGTCCAAATGGTACCTTATTAAAATTCAGATTGACTGTTTAAAAAATGTCATAAGCAGAGGCCAAAGATTGCAAAGCATTTATTACACGAAAGCTTGAAAACAGAAATATCAGCAGTTACATAAGAAGAATTAACAGTTCTAGTGTGGCTCTCACTTTTCCTTATTTTGAGTATTTCTTTTACATTATATGTTTGCTAATTTTCTTAGGTGTATGTTTAGAAGTTATTGGTAAAGGGCTAGTAGAGCACTGAACAGGTTGTGATGTAAAAAGGATATTTAGAAAAAAGTTTTAAATCTTAATAATTTAGGCACAGCAAAGCAGGATTACATTTGCATCTTTTTTTTTTTTCTGTTTTGAAGTTGTAGACGTTGAACTCAGAGCTTTATGCATGCTTGGCCGGTGCTCTACGTTGAGCTACACACCAAGCCCCCAAACTACATTTTCTGTCAGTAATCTTATGTGTTACAAGTAGTGTGTACCTACTCAACAGCATAAGCTAATAGTTAACCTTTCTTGTACTCTTCTTTTCTCCACACCATAGAGATTAACATACCTACCAGACATCATTTTGGGAATTACTCAAATTGAGGAAAAATCGCCTGCCAGGCTTATCTCCTTGATTCTCAGTACAGGTTGAGTACCCCTTGTCCAAAGTGCTTGGACCAGGAATGTTTTGTAGAAACTTTTGGATTTTGAAATATTTGCACTTTTACCAGTTGAGCATCTCAAATCTGAAAACCCAAAATCTAAAGTGCTCTAAAGCTTTTTAAGCTTCATGCAGGTCCTCAAAAAGATTGAGATTTTGAAGGATTTCAGATGTTCAGACTAGCAATGTACCCTGATTACAGCAGAGTGGTGAACGTGGATATAGATGACACCCAGGGGTTTTGATTGCTCCCTGCTTCCATCACCACTGCTGCTCATGATTTGCATGTAACATTTATGAAGAGCCCCCACATAACTACAGCGTAAGCTCAAATTGCAAGCATAGAGGAAGCCCCTGGGCAAAGACAATTATTTTATTCTCTTAGGCTTAAAACTGGAAATATTTCATTTATTCTATCAATAGTCATTTTAATGAATGTTTCTTCCATGTCCACCCAAAATATACAAAATACAGTCTGGCAGCAAATTCTTACATCAACCACTAATGACAGTCAGCTATGATAGTAGGTTAAAAAAGGACATATAAAGATGCTATGAAGGAGGAATTTTAAAAAGGGTTTATAGAGGATGTAACGACCTTTCATTAACATTATTAACATATCCACCCACTAAGTTCAGTTAAATGTTGAGCCAGCTTGTGAGTAAGGAGACACAGAAGAAAGCTTCTTACCATCAGCCCAGGGATGGCAAACCTCTTAGAGACTGCGTGCCTGAAGCACAACCCAAAACCCAGTTATTTATCACAAAGTGCCGTGTCACAATTAAACCTGAATACATCCTAAGGTTTTAGTTTAGAAAAACTACTCACTCACTTAGCTCACATGCAGTGCAGCCCAGATTTCATTTTCATAGGTTCGTCTGCAGGTCACAGGTTCGCCACCACTGGTCTAGCCCATGGGTCCAGGAGACTACAGCCAATGGATCAGCTTGCCACTGCCTGTTTTTATAAAGCAAATGTCATTGGAACATGCCTACACCTGGTTACTTATATATATACTGTCTGTGATTACTTTGATGCTATAACAGCATAGTTGAGTAGAACAGCAGAAATTATATGGCCATTAAAGCCTAAAATATTTACTGTCTGACACTTTTCAGAAGGTAAGATGGCTGAACTAAAAACTGTAATAATATCAGAACTATAAGGCATAGAAATAGAGCAAATTCTGAGAGAATAGCAGCAAGATCACACTCAGAAAAAACGTTCAAGAAGAACTGGTACCTGAAGAGTCTTTGGGAGAATTAAAGATAAGTGGGGTTTATAAAGCAAATTTGGGGAAGGCAGATACTCCTGGTAATAGGAGCCAACAGAATGAATCTATAGATACCATAATAAAGCCACGCATGGCGGTACATGCCCATAATCCCAACACTGGAGACCGAGGCAGGAGGATTGCTGTGAGTTCAAGGCCAGCCTGCACTACATAGCAAGACCCTACATCCAAAAGAAAATTAATAGTAATTATAGGTAATGTGGAGTAATTATTATGTGCCAGACATAGACATAGTTAGGTATATTCACCCCTTACAGTGTCTCTTTCAATGCTCACAACACACTATAATTAGTATTTTAAAAGTAGAAACAAAGATACAAAGAAAGTAGACATTATTTGCCCCAAGGTCTTAAAATTGGTAAGTGGTAAAACAAGATCCACACTTGTGTCTCTGAATGCATTGTCCCTTGCACTTAACCTCTATACTGTAGTGACTTATGAATAATATTATACAACCTACTCAGGTAATTACTAGTAAACAAGTTCTTTTGAGGAAAGGGGGCATGTGAAAGGGAGTTTTGCGACATGAGGTTGACAGGTATCTCGGAATCCAGCTGCCAGGTGCCTCAGTCAACATTACCATTCTTATTTTCTGACATGTACAGTGGGAGGCAGCGGTCATTCTGCAGGAAAATGACTTACCAGATTGGCATTTCAGGAAGGTCGCCGTAGCTTGATTAGAGGAAAAAAGGCCAGTAGCAGAGAACTAAGTAGAAGAAGTGTAATTCCAACCATAAGTCATTTGGCAAGGGTGGAGGGGGTTTAACCAGTAAGTGAACTCAGGACCTTGCAGTGGCCAGCCAGGTGCTTGTGCTGCTGAGCTACATCCCCAGCACCCCCACAAGAAATTTAAATAATAAATGATCAAAAGCATGAACCCTCTCATCAGACTACCTGGGATTAAATTCTGACTCTTCCACTATTTGCTGATGTAATTGCTCTGTGTAAGTCTAAGTTTCCTCACCTGTAAAGTGAAAGTAACAAGTAAGCTACCTAACTCAAAGGTTTTATTTTTGGTGAGAATTACATTACATGACTTACAGAAAGTATGTAACATAATGCCTGGCACATAGAAATCTCAGAGGGTGTACTCTTTATTAGTGTTGTCTTTTAGATGAAAGAAAGATTACTTCTAATCAAAAACTCATATAGAACTTAGGACATAAAGGCATTTATATAAAAAAGAAAATAATTCTGCTTGCCACCCCCTTTCCAGGTGAATACTAGGATAATCATCTGGAACTAGGAGTTTAGTTCATTGGTAGAGTGCTTGTTTGGTTAGTGCATGCAAGGCGCCGGATTCAGTCCCCGACAACACATCGAATAGACTAGAATAAAATAGAATAGAATAATAGGAGAGGAGAGGGAGGAGAGACCCGGGATGTAATTCAGTGATATAACACCTGCCTGACAAGCATGAGGTCCTGATTCCCAGTACCAAAAAAAAAACAAAAAGAATACAATAGAATAGATTATCAAGTATGAGAAAGTCTAAAGTGTGCGTTAGGAGTTGAAGTAGATAAAGATTCATTATTGCAAGTCACAGAAAGGCCAAAAACAAGTCAGAATATGTCATGTTGAAAAGAGAACAGGCCAAAGAGATAGACATAGTTTGATTTCTGGTTTAGCCATCATGACTCAGCTTAGCTATGATCTTGGCAAAATCACATCTCTTACTTGCTAGCATACAAAAAGTGCATCCTTAGGGTTGATAGCACAAGTTTTTGGATTAGGTTGTGTGAGTTCTTAACAATACTTATTAGCCATGTCTTCTCTGCCTCAGTTTCCTCACCACTGAGTAGTACTAGTGGAAGCTACCTCATAAGAATTATAAGATGTAAAACAAATAAAGTAAGATACGAACACCTTAGAATAATATCTGGCACTCAGCAAGCACTCAAGTAATTGTATACACTAGCTAAGGGCCTGACTTGTAGAGTTATTGTGGAAATCAGTCTGCTTGAAGTACCCACTATGCCACTTTTACATACAGGCTTGCAGTAGCTAGTGGGCCTTTATCAGAGAAGCTGATGTCTGGGCATTAGATCAGCTCTATGGAATAAACTACAGTGGCACAGATGAAACCAGAATCATTTACGGAAGAAAGGAAGAAGCTCAAGAATCATGGGTCAGAAAAACAAAAACATGAGAATGGACAGAACAGAGCAGCACACCGCAGGGGCAGGGAAAGACTGTCTGCGGTAACCTGTCTAAGTCTGGTGGGTTCACTCTCGCAGGCCCAGGGTTTCCTAGAAGGTCCAATGTGCACCTGCTTGCTTGTCTTTGAGAACGTTTAATTTTGCTGGCAAGAATTCTGCTTTTATTCTTATATTTATTCATCTATTCATGTTATTTTTCTTTCATCTCTGGCTGCTTTTAGGATTTTCTTGTTAGCAATCTGGGCATGATGGGCCTTGGTATGTGTCTTTTGGTGTCTATTCTGCTTAAAGTTCATTGAACCTTGGGCACCTGTGGGTTTATAATTTTCATCCAGTTTGACACTCAATTCTAGCCCCCAGCTCCTCTGAGCTTTGACTTCTGGTTCTTCCATTTAGAGAGTCACAGGCTGTGTTTGGGTTTTCCCTCCCTGTGGGCTAGGAGGATCCTGAAGGAACCTGCTTCCAGTAGCAAGCTGAAGCCACCAGGGGGCTTTTTCATTGTTTTCCTTCTTGTGGCAGCAGTCTTATACTGCCTGTCGATCATGTGTGTTTCCTCCAGTTTGTATATGCTGATTGCTGATTATTTAAGGCGGAGGGACGCCCTAGTTCTTGTTATGCCATCATGACCAGAAACAGAACATACTTCAAAGGAGATCTAAAAAGCCAGTGCAAGTGGTACTCTCCAGGGTTCTTCCAAATTCTGACTAGCGTAGTTGTGTGTGGGTGTCTACTGATGCTCTGGTGAAGATATTCCATGTTCTTTGAATCTATTAAGAGCTGGCTCTGGGCTGGAGATTTAGCTCAGCAGCATAAGTGCCTGTTTTGCAAGCAGGCAGTCATGAGTTCGATCCCTGGACTGGATAAAAAAGAAAAAGGAAAAAAAAAAAAAAAAAAGCTGGCTCTGAGCAGTCAGCTAAGTCCATCTTAGGCCATGGCTGCCTTATTACCACCGTTTAGAATCTCCTCTTGACATCCCCTTAAGGGACAAGAACAGACCTAGAGGTTGCTCCTGGCCTTAGTGAACTCTGGCACACTCACAGTGAAATGTCAAGTACTAGGATGGATCCCAACAGTTTGACCGATGAGGAAATGGGAAACTTGTACCTCCTGGTAACTTTAAGCTTTAAGCAACAAGTCCCTCCCGCTCCATGCAACACCACCACTTCAGCTCTCCTGGTTACTCGAGATGCTTCAGGGGAAAGAGGGAATGATCGTATTCTGAAATGCAAAGCCAGCTGTCATCTAAAAGACCCTGTATGTTTTTACAAGCTTTAAAAAACCTTTATTCTGTAAGACTAGGAAACAATCGATGGATGATGCATGTTCTTCCATTATAACACAGAGCCAAGGTACTAAGTGCCTCACAAGCACAACAGAAAGCTTTTATTGATGAGGCCATTATTTAAATAGCCTATCTCAGAGTTACTTTATTCAGAAAGCTTGCAAGTTTTAAGTCTTTTAATATTCTCCATATATCATTTATAGAGTCCAGTGCCTGGCATATTAGGGTAACAGGTATAAAAAAGAGACCCCAAAACACAATGGCCTAGCTGGTAAGACAGCTTTCCTCTGAAGGTAGTGTAGTGACCCACTTTGTTACTACACTGTCCTCCTTACCTTTCTTGTCAAAGTTAGCTTCTAGTCCAGGGAAAGCAATTTTCCTGTAAGCAAATAAAACACAAGCTGACGTACATCTCTTCCACTCGTGTTCCTTAGGGGGAACCTAGTTACACAGCCACACCTGCCTAAGAGGAGCTTAGGGATTGTGCTCTCTAGCAAAGTAGCCTGTTCCCAACTAAACCCTGAAGGAGGGAAGTGGAGATTTGGAGGAACAGTCAACAGTCTGCTACTCCAAATTAATGAGGAAATAAACCCTTTTTCAAGCTCATTTTTCCCTTCACATCTCCATTACACAAGTATAGCTTACAGCAACAAGCACACATAAGAACACGTTCAGCCTGACCTGGGGGCACACCCATAGTCCCAGCGGCTTACGAGGCTGTGGCAGAAGGATCACAAGTTTGATTCACAAGCACGATTCCTTTACAGAAGGGCAGATGGACCTCCATGGCAGAGTGCTTGCCTAGCATGAGCAAGGTCTTAAGTTCAAATCCCAGTGCTATACAACAGGCAAAAACCACTTGCTTACTGATTTAAAAAATTCTAGAGCTAAGTGCTATGTGTGGCACATGCCTATAGTCGCAGATACTCAGGAGGCCAAATTTGGAGAATTTTGTAGGTCTAGGAGTTGTAGGCCATGGGGATGGGGAGGTGAGTTTTAGTTTCTAGAAAAATGCATTAAGGCATCACATACTACTGTTATAACTAACGACTATAATTATTAACTCTGCCACCATCATTAATCTGTGTAATGCCTGATGCACTGCTGGATGACACTGATCATAGGATTTACACATAAACACATTTGAAGAGAATAATCCTTGCCGCAATCTGTTAATAGGTGAAGAACTATGAACTATTACTAGATTACTACTAGAAATGAGAGTCAAAGGCTAGACTAATCCAACATACTATAAACATTTGCTATTTCAAATATTTTATATCCATGCTACCTTTAAACTTTAGATAAAAAGGCCTAATGTACCATCTTTCTAGGGTCAAGGTTACTTAGAATAATTTCAAGCACTGTAACTCAACATTCTGAATGTTTTTTTTTTTTCCTCTCCTGCTGTTTCAGGGTAGGGTCTGGAGCTTACGAACAAGTTGTAATTAAACGCTAGCAGTCAAACCAGTGAACAGATGCTTCCGTGTGGATTTCAGGTATGTATGATTGGTGTATCAAGGCATTTCAGTGAAGCACTTAAGAGATAATGTACTTATTTTATGTGTTTTTTTAAACAGGATCTACCTTTGTAGTTCAGGCTGGCCTTGAACTCACAGCGATCCTCCTGCCTCAGCCTCCCATGTCCTGGCATTACAGGTGTGCATCACCACACCCAGCCAAGAAAAATGAAGTTTTTTTTCCTCTTTCTAAAAATGAAGTTCATCTATTAAGAGGGAAACTGACACCAGTTTCTTCTCCAAAAGCACCTGCCACCAATCTGTCCAACCCATTGAAAAAGAACATTTGTCTGCATGGTGGTCTCAGAGCAGTGTGCCAGTGCAGGCCACGGAAGTACACTGCTCCTATGGTCACTGGACATGGGAATGGAAGACCTGCTTTTACTTTTTCCAGTGGAGAAAAAGGCATCAGACACATCTGAGTATAAGTTTAGTATTCAGGTATAAAATCTATGACAGAGGTGCTGAACAGATTTGGACTCTATGTTATTTTAACTTTACATTTGGAAGACAGTATGTGAGTGTAATTTAAATCCTATAAATGCTGTCGGGACAGTTACAATTCCTGTGACGGAAACTTTCCATACTATAGAGTAACTATACTAAGTCTATTAACGCCCTTTGATGCAGCAGTTGATATGAGATATAGGAAAATGTTATACTGCGATATGTAAAATGCTTAATAATTTTAAGTGTATCTGCCATAAAGCAAATGACCAATGTGTTTTAAGTCTGAGGGAAGTGAATGGGTGTAATACTGTTATTATACACTATACAGTATATTGTTACTTAATATTAGATGAGCTGCAGAACCCCACTAGCATTATATAAGTGATTCAAAATAAGCTTTGAGTCCACATGTTAGGCTGCCATAAGATACCCTAACACATGAGCTGTTCTAAATTGCTGAATATTAGGATCTACTGGTTTCAGCATTCAGAATTAGAACAAGAGGGAAATTGTGATATGATCAGAAACAGAGCATCCTTCTCTGTGTCAAGGTTAGACTTAGCTGGAGCTGGAGATCACTCTGACATGGCAGTGGACCAAAACAGGGAGCTGCTGCTTGACATTTGTGGTGCAGGAAGACAGTGTCAGAAGCCGGTTGTTTTGAGACAAGAATAGGCTGTAATGTACATCAGATACGGCTTTTAAAGTAGAATTGGTTTAGCCTACGTATTTTCATGTTGGTAAAATAAAATTATTAGAATAAAAATTATTTTAATATAATTTGGGGTTTGGAAAAAAAGAATAACTCATGTTAGAGCTTTTTTAATATTTTAAGAATTGGATATTCCATATTAATTTAGTATTGCTTTTATAAATAGGTTTTGAAAATGTTTTAAAAATGACAGCCTGTTTCAGAATATTTTTAATATTAAGAGAGGGGTTTTATGAGTCTTCAGTTATGTGCACTATTTTGTGGATGTGTGGTGCTGGGGGCAGAATGTCACATTCAATCCCCCCAACCCTTTGTTTTGTTTGTTTTGTTTTGTTTTGTTTTGTTTTGTTTTATTTTGTTTTGTTTTGTTTTGTTTTCAGTCCATGTTGTCTTGCAGAGTTGCCCGGGCTGGCCTGAGGCTTACAATCCTCCTCCCCCTGTTGTCCTGACTGGTAGAGATCACAGGCATGCATTACCACACTTACAGCTTTGTTTTATGGAAAGAATCAAAGTTTTAAGTAGATATGTGAAGATACTGTTTAGAGAAATCAATGACATTTTTGAAAATATATTTTTCTATTTTCAAATATTCTTTCTAGGCTCTATTTTTTATTGGCACTTCTGCAAATGACTTTTGCAGTTTTCAGTACAAAACAAGTAGATTGTAGGCAAGGTTCAGTGAGGATGCTCATCAGACGTATGAAAGGTACTGTAACCAGGGCAGCGCCCCTGTCTTACTAACTTTGATTACTGCTGGCCCTACGTCCTTATAAGATCGACTCTTGGCATTTAAAATGGTACAGAATTCTTCCATGAGCCAAAACCAATAATAAAACCCTCTTCTCACCTAAAAAATATGGTTCAAGATCCTTTTTTAAAAAAACAGTGTGAATAGATTTTTCAAAAGCATAAAAGTCATTCCTTCATAATATTAGCAGTGTCCAAGTACATCTTGGTTTATATAGTAATAAGTGTAAAAAAAGCATTTTAATGGAAACATTAAATAGGAAGATAAAAAAATGACTGTGTCCTCTGTGGTCAGCACCTTCCTTTTATTCTCGTACTCCACTAGCATAATTTGCATTCACATTTTAGTACAGTCCTATAAAACACTTGTCAGGTGTCTGCCTGATTTTCTTGTTTGTATTGTTAGTCCCTTAACCATGTAGCTGTTAAAAAAGAAGCTGCTTACTAACTACTACATCTACTTTTGAGTGAAGAAAATTGGACTTCAAAACATAAATCTTGATTAATTTTTTTAAATGCTAAAGCCAATCTAGGTGAATGCGCAGATGTGTAAAACCTTTTCTAATTCTGTTTTAAAGAAAATGAATGGCACTTGCAGGCTCAAGTCGGTGACGAGATAAAGAAGACTTTTCTTTCTTTTTTTTTTTTTTGGTACTGGGGATCGAACTTATGACCTTGCACTTAGGCCACTGAGCTAAATCCCCGGCCCAAGAAGGCTTTTAAATGCTTTGTTCGGAAGAAAGTACAGAATTCAGGAGGCCCTCTTCTGTAACATGAGTTGGTGGCTGAGACCGGATAGTATGTGAAGGGCAGAGCTGGCCCTGAACTATCAGTCTACACTTTAATGGTTGATGCCTCTTTGTGGTGTTTTGCAGGCTTCTGAAAACAAACAGCTAATGTAGATTAGTACCACATGATCTGATAGTCTTGACCAACAACCCTAAATTCCATTTCCCATCCTAGCATAGTTATCAGAATGACATCCAAACTACATTTTTCTGAATGTGCTTTTTTGTGTAAAACTCAGAGCCAGAGGTTGACCACTTAACCCCTTTGTTGCTAGAAGGGAAAAAAAATCTACAACTAGCCTCCACTCAAAACATATTCAGCCGGGATTGACAGCACACACCTGTAATCCCAGTAGTAAGGAGGCTGAGGCAGGAGACGTGCAAGTTCGAGCCTGAACTACTTAGCAAGACCCTGTCTCAAAAAAAAGAAAAAAAAAAAAAAACCATTCAGGTTAAGGCAGCAATGACTTTAATAAACTGGAACATCCATAATAATAATCTCAGACATTCAGATTTCCATGCTAACTAAACTACTTTGTGAACTCGAGCTGATGGTATTACATATCTCACTGAAGTACTCAAAAATGTGCCAGGCTTCCTGTATATACAACAAATCCCTGAGAGACTGGCTGGACTCAAATGACGGGGTTGCAACGTATTTTCTTAAGTCTTTAACTTGAGAAGTTCAGAAGTTATTCCTGGTCAGCTCCCTTAGATGGTACGTCATGTGACTGTAGTCAGATATATTCATTCAAATTGTGTTCAGCTGCTACTCATGTGCTAGTTTAGGTACTATCATAATGTTAAGAGCCAAGATGTTAAAGAATATGAAATCTAAGATACAAAGGTTGAAATAGTGCTGTATTAAGCCTATTTTAAGACTGCCCTGAAGATGAAGGCCTTATTCCCTTATGTCTGATTTTCATAAGATAATGTATACATGATGTATTTTAAGTGGCTGTATGGGTAATTACCTCACACAATATGGGTGGTCGCTTGTATAACAAAATTGATACTGAATATATTGTCTGTAAGTTGTATCCATTATAGACAATATGTTCTGCATTTTCTAGTGTTTATGTATGTAACAGAAAATTCTTTTGCTGATATTCATTGACCAAATCCTTTATACAAACTTGTTTGTTGGAAATATATCTTATTTGAGGGATCACCTTCTTCTTGGTGTTTATTTGCTCCTTTGGAAATGTGTATGTAATCTTTCAAGTCATGTAAATGCTTATGAAAAATGGCATTGCTGGCTGGGGTGTGGCTCAGTGGTACAGGGTTAGCTTAGCACAATGTAAAGCCCTGGGTTTGATCCACATCTCTGCCAAATTTATATATATAGAAGTGATTCCATTAGTATTCTGTTCTAATACTTGGAAAATGACCTTCATATTTATATGTATTTCTTTCAGTTGCACAATGATGAATCCAGGAGGTGTTTCCTTTTTTAACAAAAACATGTTTTATTTGTAAAGTGTTTGTAATAATGTAAAGGCAATTATATATGGTTAATAAAAGTCATATCTTAAAAGTTTAGATGTTTTTCGTATTTTAAATTGTCTGCCTAGATAAGAAAACAGAATTGAAAATCCAGTGTAACTTTCCCCTGAGGGTTTGCTTTTATTACCAGGCAGTATACGGCTTAAACACTTTCAGTAGTAGACGCCTTTGAACCGTCAGCAGCCCATGCAGGGGCACAGACTTAGGCCTTGGAGTAAGACAAGCTCGGAACCATCTTCATCGTCTAGGATGGACCACCAATTCTAGCAAATTGTGACAAAGAACATAGACGTTAATGTTGAGAATATGCCAAAAACTTCAAAAATAAATGGCATTTTTCTTTAAAAAAAAAAATATATATATATGCATATATACTTTTTAGTAAGCACTCAGTGTTTTATCAAAGCAAAATTTTACCTTTATGTAACATCTATATACATATATTCTTGTCACACAGATAGTTTATTAAATGGCCACTATTAAATAACTATTCAACAAATGATATTCGTTGTCACCCATACTCCCCCACTCCTACCAGTCTGATTTAGTTCTGAGTATTGAACCCAGGGAGTGTGGACATATATCCTCAGCCCTTTTTATTTTTTGATACAGGACTCGGGGCTGTCGCCCAGGCTATCACCTAACTTGCCATCCTCATGAGGTTATATGTCCCTTTTTCCCCTTTGATTAGTGTTCTCATGGAAGGAAAGTAATTTCAATGCATTCTATGCTGATATGAAAATTATAACAGCAATTTAAAGTTAATAAAGGACTATAACCATTGTGGCAAATCTACGATACATAGAGCCACAGAGGGCTTTTATTAAAAACTAAAGGTTCGCCATCACTAAACTGTGGTTTAGTATGAGTTTGAGATCAGATCCTCTTCTGCCTTTGACAGGGCTTCCCTAGACAGTGCACATTATTACAAGTCACATGACTGAGGAGAAAGCATACTGTGTATGGGCAGAAGGGAACAGGGTATGCACATTCTGGGAAACCCTCCAGACACCTCCCCAGTACACAGGGTCATAAAGGATCACCAAGATGACTTTGTACCAAATCATGGCTTCTCATGCGCCTGTCTCGGAACTCCTTGTCCTTATCTTGGCATTGTGTTCCCCGACAGGTCTTGTTAGGACTTCGCTGCTTTTCTCAACATCTAGTGGTTTTCCTTTTAGGCCTCTCCTTCTCAATCCTGCCTTTACCAATGTTTACCTCTTCTCTTTCTATACCTATGCAGCATTCACCTGGTAGAAACACATAGTGAGATCTTTCCATTTTTACAAGTAGAAAATCCTAAATATTCCCATCTTACATGAAATGCACCAAATGATAAACAAACAGGAAATTATCAAATTTAGACATTCCCTGAGTCAATGATCTTCATTCTTTGTAAACCCATGTTAAGAAGGAAATGTTTGAAACTTCCTGTCTTAATTGGTTTAGATACCATTCCTAGGTAGCTGCAACTCACCGAGGCTGAGATGTCTTTTCAACTTGGCATACCCAAGTTTTTAAAATTTTTAGACGCCTCCAGGTTATTTTAGTAAAAGTGCGCCATCTTGTGGCATTGAACTTCAGAGATTGGGGTTTATCACCCTTTCCCCGGTGATTGTGTATCCCTTTTTCATGTATATTCCATGAAATTAAGACCAAAGGAAAAACAATTTTCTATTTTTTTCAGTAACAATTGGGATAATTTCAAAAAGAATTTAAAGCATTGTGTAATTAAGGTGAAATTGTTTCCTCTGTTGCAGAATTACAGAAAGATTCTGTAACTAATGCTCTATGAGAAGTTCTATCAGAAAGCTGTTGATTAAAAGAGAAATAGAGGGGCTGGGGATTTAGCTCAGCGGCATAAGCACCTGCCTTTCAAGCAGGCGGTCGTGAGTTCAATCCCTGGTACCGATTAAAAAAAAAACAATAAAGAGAAATAGAGACAGGCCTGGAAAGAGACACTGGCCCGTTCAGTAGAATCCAAGGGAAAGGATCAAGGAGTGGTGTGGAAGCAGGCAGCAGTGTTTCTAGGGAAAAGATCACAGCTAAATCTTTCCAGCCGAGTCATAGCATATAGGATGAAATGAAATAGGTAGAAACAGGAGCTAATTACAGCAATAGAGGCAAACAGTTCAGGCAAAGTGTCCATGCAATTTGGCTGATCATTAGGAACCCAACTGCTAAATAGTAGAGAGCATGAAGTGTTAATTTTCAAGGGGTGAAAAGGTTTATAATAGGCATGTGGGGCTTCAGAAACTAGTATTTAACATTTCCCATAAAAATTTCTAGATCTAGCTTCTAGCAGCTTGTTTGCTAGACCTCAGCCATATTCCCAAGTGTTCCCTTTTCTGACTATCCCAAAAGATGTACTTCCTGTGTGCTCACTGTAAATACCTAGCGACTCCGTAAATACCTAGCAACAAAAATCTGTTCTCCAAGTCTTCAAAAGATTCTGCATTGCCATTGTTGATGCCACTCAGCCCCTGACTTCCTGCCAGCCACTCACCATGATCTCTACAGGACCAGGTGTGATGTTCTTGTTTTGGTTTTGGTTTTGGTTTGGGTTTTGACTCAAACGCCAACCCAGGGAATTGCCTTAATTTGGAAGTATTTAGTTCTGTACAGGAACTAAACTGCTTGCTGAGTATGTTAGCGGGAAAGGTTGGGAATCGGAGTTGACAAGAAGCGAAAGGGCAGGGAGGGTGAGACAAGGTAGGGAAAGACGGAAGGCGCTGCTGTGTGACAAGGGGGCGGCGTGTTTAGAGAGACTTGTGAAAATGCTGAGGGGACCAAGTTCACATCTCAGTGGTATGGAAATTGAACTGGAATGCAGGAAGTGCTGTGAAGGCTCAGACTTCTGGGAAATCACGAATCTTTTGAGTTTCTGCAAGTTTCAGTCTTGAATGTCCTCCAATTACCCACATGTTAATATGTGGTACTATTTGGGAGAGGTGGACTCTTAAGAGCTGGGGCCTAGTGAGTGGTCCTTAAGTCACCGGAGTTGCCCTTGAAGGGGATTGTAGGGGCCCTGATCTCTTCCCATATTTTGCTCTCTAGCCATGAGGTCAGCACCATGAGGTCTGCCCTGTGTTCCTGCCACAATGTACTACTTCATCAAAGGCTCAAAGCAACATGGACTAGGACTTCCAGACTGTAAGCCAAAAACTGACCTTTTCTCTGTAATTGTCTCAGATATTTTGTGATAGCAGAAAGCTTCTGGAGTTCTCAGACCATGGAAGTAGGAGTGGGAGGTAACTAATATCTGGTAACATGTATTTGACATCTACCCTGGAGATGCGAGAAGCAGTAGGCAACAGTGTAAGCTTTCAAAGAAAAATCTACAAATAAAACTGTTCCTCCTACTGTTCCATCTTCTTCACAATCATACACTGCATTTCTTGGGACAAAGACCTAACTTGCTGTGCTTGGGTCCTCTGCATTATACTGTGTGGTCCATTCCCAACCTAATACCACAAAAGTCCACTAGTTTTTACAAAACTAAAATCTACTTCTAGTGAGTTGGAAAGAAACATAAGAAATACTTGATAGTGATTTCTGGGGAATGAAATGAAGGTAAGCAAGGGCAGTCTGCTCAGGGACATTTCTTTGCATCCTTATGAGAAGTTTGGGAGTTTTATCATGAATTTTATGCATTTTATAAGTGTATTATAAAAGTACATATAATGATCAAGAATGGAGTACAGATGCATTTATAAAAGACATTACTAATGGTAAAGTTCCATCAAAATGTGTAGTAAGAATACCATAAATGTAAAGTTACTAGTACAACTTTGTTACTGGAAATGTATGAGAAGTGGTGGATAGGACTGCTCTTCTAGAGGAGTAATTGCCTAGAGAGGTCAGGCAGCCCGAGAGGCTATGGGAGAGTAGACTTTAAGGGTATTTATGATATTATGAAATCCATCTTAAATTCTGTATCATTCTAAACCATCATAATCTTTTTATTTTCATAACTTAAATTTTAAAGTTATCACAGGAAAAAATTTTCAATTTTTTAACTGGTAGAGTTTTTAGGGCTGAGGTATAGTGTACTGGTACAGTGTTTGCCTAGTATGCATATTTGCTGGCTCCCCAGCTAGGAAGGGAAAAGGGAAGGGAAAGAGAGAGAGAGTGAGATCACTTAGGATTTGGTTATTTTTGTTTGTTTCCTTATTTTCCAGAGAACTGGAGTTAAAGGTAGCTGCGGGCATCCCCATCAAGATAGCAAATATCTTAAGCCAGAACACAAATTTAAGAGAAAATATATTTTCCCTCCAACAGCTCCTGCAACCAGAGGCTCCTCAAACCATATGATCTAAAACCAGAGCTTAGCCCTAGAAATGTGATAGCAGCAAATATGCTTTACCCAACATACGAGGGACATGTTTTACCAGTAGGAATTTCCCCTAAAAAAAAGCAAAAGGAAAAATTAAATAAAAACTTCTGGCTGGGCATATAGCTCAGTGAGTGTGCATGCTTAGTATAAACAAGGCCTTGGATTCAATCACCAGCACCAAAAAAGTTTTTAAGTCTTCCACACCCAGGTGGACCTTAAGAAGCCACTGATTCCAAGGCATGATTGTGAAAACTGAACTTTCATATATGAAGGACAGCAAGTCTGATTCCTTAGGATGCTCCTAGAAAATTCTCCGAACTGAGTGGCACAGGAAACAAAAGAGTGGCCATTCGCCATTTCATTTTGGGAAGTACAGTCCCAGTGAGTTAAAGTGCTCCATAGAAGTGAAGGGACAGCAGACAACAGGGGCAATGACTGAAGAAGACACCTCATTCTGGTAGGTCCCCTTCTGTGGGGTCTGAGACAAACTGGGCTAGGAGCTGCACGCAACTCGTTCTGCAAAGAACAGAGAGGACTCTACACATACCAGTGTGGGTTGCCACTGTTCTGCGTGCTTCTTTGAACTGTGAGTGAGTGACAATTCGGTCTTAAAAACAATCTTAAATAATGTTCACTCTGTAGGTCTGTAGTATTTACTACTATGACCAATAGCTACCAGGACCCCAGAATGGACTCTGCTGTCCCAATAATGTCCACAGTCCACTGTCTCAGATGGAACTTTTCCTGTGCCACACCTATTCCCTTAGCATCTGTCAGAACTTTGTGATGTGACCATTGCCCCACACTGCACATAATTAAGGTAAAATTCCCTTAGCAAGCCTAGCTGGCTGCTTTCTGCATTTATAGCAGAAGGGATTTTGTTATGGATTAAAAACTGGTCAACTTAACGCCAGCTGAATCAAATCACCATGGTGCTGAGAGTAGATGTTCCACCTGAGGAAAGTTGCCAGCATAAATACAGACTGGAGAAGGAGAAGGGAAGTGTTGAGCACTGTGGGTTCTCCTGTGTGTTGCTGTTTGAGCCATTGGTTCTCCTGAAGAAGCTCTGATCCTCACATTAAACATTGCTTCCTGGCTCCAGAGAGGAAGATGTGTGCCGTTTAATCTCCAGGATGAACTACTCATGCTGGCTTCCTGGCATGTCTTCGACTGTGCTTTTTGTCAGAGCAGCTCGGGGTCTCCATGTCGCTGATGGCTGGGGTGCTTTTCAGGACAGCCCTGGTCTTTTAGTGTGACTTCTTGGCTCCAGCATAGAATCCTCTACCTACCAACACAGCTCCTTCACCCCACTGGCATAGACTTTCTAGCTTCCACCACTGACCTTTGGGCCTTCCCAGCACTGATCCGTAAAAGAGACTGGCAATTGGGCTCTAGCTCTCCAGTTGGACTCATGGGAGGCATTGTCATGAGTTCTGGGTCTTCATCTAGACTCATGCAGGACATTGCTATGGGATTAAGGCCTTCGGCTAAATATTCTATGTCTTTAGCATTGTGGATAGATTTCCTGCATTTCTTTGTGTCAACTCTGGGTGACCATCATAAAAATATTATAAGCTCCATATCCCGATTTTAATTCACCACCCCTGACTACAAGAGATTTTAATCTCTAATTACCTTTTCATTTACAAAATTTTCCATTTCCGTGCTGCTGAAGGGTAAATGTACCTTTGGAACAAGGATCTGGGCTGAGGGTGAGGCTCAGTGGTAGAGCACCTGCCTAACATGCACAAGGCCCTGGATTTGATCCCCAGCCATATACAGACTACTGATCAAACCTTCCTTCAGATGTTTTAATGAACATAGACACAAGGTTGAATTACCTATGGCTACTCTTCTGCATCAACTCAAGCAGAGTTGAATTGCTGATACAAACCCCAAAACCTGCAAAGATTTACTCTCTAGCCCAGTAGAAGTATTTGCTGATCTCTGGCTTAGAATGTTAATAAACCTGTTAATGTGCACAGAAAGAATTTATCAAGGTAAGAAGAAAACACAAACAATGCAAGTACAGAGGCTGGGGGCATGGCTTAATGGTGGAGTGCTTGCCTTGCCTGTGAACAAGCATTTAAAGATTTCTTACAGGATGAAGGATCAACTGATAAAGCTTCAGAAACAAAGTTAATCTGTTAATTTTGGAGAAAGATAAGATGCTGATCCTAGCCAGAAAATGCAGCAGTGAAAAACAGCAAGGATGACAAGGGAACCTTAGGACAAAAATTGTACAGGAGCCTAGACAGGTGAGAACAGAGGGCCTTTGAGATGGATGTGGAGGGATGCAGATCTCTTGGTCCTGTGTACTTTTGAGTATGGGTGGAGGGGAGGATTCAGTACAGATACATGGAGGCCTGATGGAAGAGGCTATGAGACTTAAGAAGAAACCAGATTGTTAGCAGAGGTTATGTGATTAAAAGGCTTTTCTTCCCGAGTCCTTTGTCTCCCATCCTCACCAAATCTACTTTCCAATTATTATTTCTTCACAATTCAGCTTCAGCACAACTGCCCACTGGAGGCCTCACCCAGGATCAACACCCCTGACCAGGGCCCATCTTGGGTTAGTCAGAATAGTCCAGGTATGGCACAATTTGCCAGGGTCCGCACTTTTCTCTTGTTGCTTAGAAGGCCACCAAGTAGATATGTGACCTGTCAGAATATAAACTATGCTTCTCAGCTTCTGCTGCTGCTATATGTGGCCACAAGATATCGTTTTGAGGTCTTAAAGTCAACTTATAGCAACAGACCAGGCAGCTGGCAGGCACTTCTCCCTTCTCTTTTCCCTTTTGCTGGTATGGAACATGGACATGGTAGCTGGAGATCGTATTTTCTTCTCTGTCCCTAAGGTGGCATGCTAAGTATATCACAGTGGCCAGAACAGACCTCCAGGTCCCTCTGGTGCCACAGCAGCCACACCCCACTGGCTTACACTCCTTTGCTTTCAATAGAAAAGTCTCATTTCCACTTTTTTCCCTAGCAAGCCAAGCTATATTTTTTGTCTCCCATTGTTAATTCCATCCCAGTGCTGACAGTGAATTCCTAGAGAAGCAGGTGCTCAAGAGAGACAGGACTGAGGATGTGGCTCAGTGGTAGTGTTTCCTTCGCACACAGGGGCCTGGGTTCAGTACTCAACACTGCACAGAAGGGAGGGGAGGGGAGGGGAGAGGAGGGGAGGGGAGGGGAGGGGAGGGGAGGGAAAAGGAGAAGAGGGGTTATACCACAGAGACCTCTATGCTCTATGCTCTTCAAATATCTGCATTTGAACTAAATAGTAAGACCATGTCTCAGAAAACAAACATCTGCATTCTTAAGTTTTTAGGAAATGGTAGGTAATAATTTGGCCCCAAAGAGAATCCCAGAAATGTTTTAAAGCTATTCAGAGAGCTTTTTAAGATATTAAACCTTGAGAAAAGGTTTAAACAGTACATTTAATCACCTTTTTTCCCAGCAGTGGAGACTAGAGACAGGGCCTCAGGCATGGTAGGCAAGTGCTCCCCATTCTAAAATCCCCAGTCATTTTTATTTTAAGAAAGGCCTTGGGAAATTGACCAGGTGGTCTAATTTGCAATCCTCCTGCCTCAGCTTCCTGAGTAGCTGAAATTACAGTGTGTACTTCTGCATTTTTTAATCTCATTCAACACATGGCTCAAACATCGAAATATGGGTACACTCAAAATTAACACAGTATCATATCCAATTTCTTCATTCTTGAGAAAACATCAAAGAAAATTTCCAACTGAAAAAAGCACACTGCTTTTAGTTAAACCCCAACACATTTCTCAGGTAAAAAGCAACTGTACTATACCATAAGTCCACCAGTTCAGGAATGGCTTGTGTTAAAACTTCTTAAATGTCAGTTGAATAAGACTATACCAAAAAAAAAAAAGCTTAAATTCTGAGCCAGTTCAACTACCACTTTGAACTTTGGGAAATACGATGGCTCAGTTATCTTCAGGTTCACAATCCCACGAATTACGCAGGTTAACCGTGACCGCAGAACCGTCACTACTCAAACACACTGAGTCAGCGAGAAGTGAGCGCACCCGCTCTTCATCCACAGGCAAGCGGTGCAGTCTGGGATACGCGAGGAGTCTCTGCAGGGGTATGAAAAACCGGTTCCCTTGGCAGAAGGGCTTGGGAGAATTCTCTATCCTGGCTTTCTCAGCTTCGGTGAAGACTTCCCCCAACAGCAGACTGGGGGCCACAGGAGGGTCCTGAGGCCACCGGCCTGACCTTTTCCGCTGCCGCAGCATTCGCAGGTACCCCAGTCGCAGGCGCTCCACTTGTAACAACACTTCCCCCACCAGTTCAAATTTGAGCACTCTTTCCTGCTGTAAACTTGGGTAGGTGGTGGTGTAAACCTGAAGGAAAAGAAGCAGAACACATAAGAGAGGGAAATATTCAAAGCTATGAGTACTCTGTCACAAAAGAATTAACTGTAAGTCTTATTGGATTATGTTGTTACATATTGGAGAGGGCCAGATCCTCAATGTAAATGGCCCAGTAATGGGACTCAACACTGACATTAATTATCTGATTTTCCAATTCTAATGGCCAAAGCCTCTCAGCCAGGTTTACACCAAAGCACACTAGTCCAATATGTTTACTTCTTATTACATTAATTTCCTTACCTGTAATATTTGATGTGTGAACTTTCACAGAAATGAAAAAACTCAAATTACAAATATTCATAGATATGAACAAATCACAGAAGTATCTCCCATGTCTACCTTACCATTTTAAAGTAACTATAAAAGGAAAATAGTTTCTTTACAGTATGTGTGTATGTGTGTGTGTGTTTGGTTTTTTTATGCTTTACACTGTACATTTGTGTCAAGTGTGTGTAAGACTCACTTTGCTGGATCTAAGAACAAATCTGACTTATGAACCTTCTCCCAGAACAGAACTTGTTAATAAGTTGTGGACTTAGTGTACAAAGAAAAGGGTAAAAAAGGAAAAACAGTTCAATCTGGATATGTTGGCATGTGCCTGTGGTCCCAAGCTGCTGGGAAGGCTGACTCGAGAGGATCTCAACCCAGTTCAGTCCACTCTAGGTAACAAAGTGAGACTCTCAAGAAAAGGGAGGGAAAAGCAGGAAGGGAGGGAAATGGTTCAGTTGAAAAGGCAAAATATGTTTCTTCTGGATCTTTAGTTTTGTGTGTGTTTGTGCACATATGCACTTGACACCCTAAGAATTAGGCATGTTAGGCAAGTGCTATACCAATCAATCATATGCCCGACTTTTATTTCGAGACAGAATCACTAAGTGGCCCAGCAAGGCCTTGAACTAGTGATCCTCCTACCTCAGCATCCTGAATAGCTAAAATTACAGGTATGCACCATTGTGTCCAGCTTGGCTTGCTTTCTATTTAACACAGGTAATCTGAAGAGATTACAGATGTTGTTGCTGGAAGTATTCTAAAACTCCAGCAGAAGAGCGTTCTCATTAATGTGCCTTGAGAAATGCCAAGGGGCCAACCAGTCTCAGAGGATCAGTAGACCAACTCTTACAAGGGTTGTGGGGTCCAAAGGATCACTCAAACTGAGACTCAAAATGAGGAAATTCATGCTCATCTCTACTTTGGGTACTCTTACAAGAAAAAAAAAAAATGTCCACCATCCTAAGCAACATACTTTTTGCCTGAGTGCTACCTCATCAACAGTACTCACAGCTTTATAAACATGCTGATGGTGCTGCTCTGAAACACAGAGCCCGGCTGCCTCTCTGCTGTTTTTCCGGAAGACGCCTATCTGGGTGCAGAATCCAACGTGCTCAGCACCAGCTGGCGGTTTGCCTACCCCTGTAAACTCCACAGAGTAATTGTAGTGATTTGCCACTTGTAAAGCCCTGGAATAAAAATGAAATCGTTTTTCTAAACATACAGCTACTTTTCAGTAATTTGCTCAGTAAGTAATTTCTGTCAAGTAAATTCCAGCCACTTGCATTTCAGTTCCCAGCGCATCCCCAAGGCCCCGATTCCTTTGTCCCTGGGTCCTTCTCACACTCCTGGATTTTCACAACAGCCTCCTATGTTTTATATAAGATAAAATTTGTTTTCATTTGAAATATAATGGGAAAGTGAAAAGCCAATTTACAGACTTTCTAACTAGAGGAACTGTTTGTTTCTGTGTACTACAAACTGAACCCAGGGCCTCTCCCAACCCCCATGTTTGATACTGGGTCTCACTAAGTCCTTAAGTTGCCCAAGCTGGGCTCAAACTTGCAGTCATCCTGCTTGAGCCTCCACGGTGCTAAGATCACAGATATGTGCCACCACACCCAGCCAGAACATTCATGCAGAATACATGCTTTATGTTGCCACTATAAGGAGAATGACCCTGACATTTACATGTACGCAAAAGATAAAGAAATAAATTAGAATGCATATCATTAAATAAATTCCAATCAGTGGTAGAATATGAAAAAAATGAATTAAAGAATTTCCACATTACATATTCCTATACCAACAATAATGCTGCTACATCACAAGGTTCACTTAGTTTCTAATGAGGAGAAGAGACAGTGACACAAATGTCAGTTTGCAAGTCCGTAAGAATATGGAAGAGAGGGGCTGGGGATTTAGCTCAGCAGCATAAGCGCCTGCCTTGCAAGCAGGCAGTCGTGAGTTCGATCCCGGGTACCAATAAAAAACGAAAAAGACAAAAAAAAAAAATAGAATATGGAAGAGAAAAAGTTACAGAGCACACAGAGTGAGGGCTGCACAGGGAAACCACAAAAGCTAAGCCTCAACTGTCCCTCTGGGTTTACAATTACTCCAAAATGTGAGCAAGCCCAAGGAGCTACTGCTGGACATTGGCACGGGCTCACTTCACAGCCTCAGACCCTGCCCTTTCTCATGCCAACACTACAGATGCCTTCACCTGCGCAGCACTCGATGCCATACACCCTTTCCACAGCTGCCCAGATGGGGCAGTTCCCTTGTGATCTTATTCCACAATATGTTACACACTGGGATTTCATTAGAATAAAGAAAGAATTTAGGTAAGATACAAATATAAAGGTTTACTTCCTAGGACCTTAAATTCCAATAGGGTTTCTAAGAATCAAACAAAAAAGAACCTTTTGAAACTTACCAGGTCTGAAATTCCATTCTGTTCCACTCAAACTTATGGTCTACATCTCTTAGGGTCACTATGGGAAACAGGGGGTTGAATTCAGAATTGGGTGTGCTGATGACAATCATGGCTGGAGACAGGTACCCAAACACCACTTCAGGAAATCTGGCCAGATGATCTGTATCCAAATGTTCTATTCTAAAATGGTTAATGGAAAAGACATTACTAACCTATCTTATCTGGAAAGTACTCTCCTAATTGACAAGCAATTTCCATCTCTATACTGATTTAACTTTTCTTTGAATATCCAGCAGTACTACAACCTATCAACAGTTATTCACATATTCTAATCTTTCCCTATCCCCCAGCCTTGCCCATGGTGCTCTTTCAACTAACTAAGTTCTTCTGCTGAGCTCTATGGGGCACATTATCAACACTCGAAAAGAAAAAGTGTATAAAAATTTAAAAAATACAGTGGATCTAATAATGAGGTCATATACAAACCCAGACTGAGGGTTGAGACATTTTACAAAATATTTATCATGTATTATTCAAAAATAAAGGTCAAGGCTGGTGCTCAACAGTAAAGCCTCTACCTAGCATTCGTGAGTCCCTGGATACAATCTTTAGCATCACAAAAAGAAAAAAAATGGATTAAAGAGCAAATAAATTAGAAAGACTGAGCAGACTCCCTCCGAATTAAAAGATATCCAACAGACATGAAAATTAAAAATGTCTGTGTGATCTTGGACTGTTTTAAAGTCTACCTAAGTTTCAAAATGTTACCAAGACATTACTGGAACTGATGGATTTTGAGTATGGATTGTACATTACATAGTATTACTGTATCACTGTGATATTTCCTAAGTCAGTACTCAGTGGTTATAAAAGTGAAGTATTTGTTCTTAGAAAGTATACAGCTGTATTTAGAGGAAAAGAGACACAGTGTCTCCAACTTGCTCTCAAATGATTCAGATGAAAAACATACAGAAAACATTTAGAAAAATGTCTATGTAAAAGAGGTGAAAAACTAACAGTTGGTGAACCCATGAAGTTCCTTGTACCATTCCTGCCACTTTTGGTAAATTTGAGTATTAATGAAAATGAGTCTGACAGAATACTGCTGAAATCCTATGTCAATAAGCTCTAAAAACTCTAGACTTTGACAAAACTGCTTCACAAGGGGTTCAGCCTCAAATGAATTTGCAAGCAAACCAGAAGCTATGTTGAATAAGAGGTAGGAAGATAATCTCACCACACTTGAGGACCTCTATCTCAGAACACTAATGAGCACAAGAATCCTGACCTTTCAACCAATTATACAAAGAAGTATTGAAAGTAAACATAATCTGTTACAAGCAGAAAAAATCTAGCAATCCCTCAAATTGTTATCCCATTGGGCTTCTTTGCATCACTGGTACAAATACTACATATAACAAAAATTACAGTTACAGAATAACATGATTAAAGGGCAACTGATTGCTTTACCATACATTAGAAAGAAAGACAGTGCTGTGGGTTTAGTGCAGTTGTAGTATGCCTATTTAGTCATGGGTGAAGCCCTGGGTTTAATCTCTAGCACTGCAAAAAAAAAAGTATGTGAATATATATCACCATTCTGCCTGTCTGGGGTGCCTCACCATACTCAGTAACATAAAAGCCACATAGATACTGTGTAATACAAATCTCTTCATACACCAATGCAAATATGTATTTCTAATAAATGAATACACATGCTTTATAAAAATACATCAATTTATAAATATTTTTCTTTTAAAAGAATGTTTGAGAGCAGCTACAACTGTACACATGGATATAACACTGCAAGAGCAGAACAATAGAATTTGGTTTCTCAGTGATTTCAAAGAGCCATGCAATGACAAAATACGGACCCTCAGCTCAGGACTATTTAGAAAAACTAGGTTCCACTTTCTTTCATCCACTATCTGGACTCTCTTCTACAACTCAAACCTGCACCATAACCAAAAGGGCCATCAAAATTAAAAATTTGTATGTCCTTTAACCTAGCAATTTTATATCTAGGAGTTTACACCACAGTTGAACTCATGTATACAAAAACATATAAACAAAGCCATGCAAAGCAACCATGTCATTTTAAATGCTGGTTAAATACATTGCCATGGAGATCTAAAATGTCCCCAAAACTGTATGGAAATGATTGGACTATGGGGATACTATATCCATCACTGACTTCATCCATTAATGAGTTCAGTAGCTAAATGCCCTGTTAGGAGGTGAGCCATTCCACCAGGCATGACCTGGAAGGGTGTATGCTTGTGCCAGCTTCTCCCTTGTTCAAACCCATAACCCTCTGCCATGCCCCTCTGCCATTCTGTTCCTGCCTTAGAGCTTGTCCACCACTGACTGAAACCTTGAGCCACAATAAACCTCTCCTCCTTTAAATTGCAAGTGTCAGGTATTATGACAAGCAATGGAAAGTGACTAAGACAGATATTAGTAGCGGCTGCTGCTGTGATCATACCATTTGGTTCTGAGGCTTTTGGGACTAGTTTGTGGGAGGAGTTTAGAAAGGTTTGGAGATGTCAACAAGAAAATGCTATAAGCAGAGCTTGATGGTAAATTCTGATAATAGTTCAGAAGACCAAAATGCTAATAGGAAAGCAGTGAGCAAAATCTGGACTCAGGAGATTTCAACTGGGAACAGGACTCTCTTATGGTTTACAAGCAAATATCTTCCAAGAGCCTCAAGCACTCAGAGGCAGGGGTTGGGGAAGGTAACTGAATTATGGGCCTTAGAACTGATTGGTAATTTGGAGGTATGGTCTGGTCAGAAGACATGATCACCAGCATGTGGCTCTGAATCGTTTATCTACCTCCCCAGTTCCTCCCTTGACACTCTTCTTTCCCCGAAGTCTCTCTCCACAACACAGCCATGATACAAGGTAACAGTCAAATCTTAGTCATTTTCCTCATTGCTAAGACGCAATACCACATAACCACAACTTGAAAGAAGGTTATGATCCATGGTCTGACAGCTCCAAGATAAACACAGCATGGTAGAGGCGTATAGCAGAGGAAAAGCTCATGTCACAGCGGCCAGGAAGCAGAGAAAAGGGAAGAGCTGGAGAGAGAAACACACCCTTCTAGGTCACATCCCTGATGTCCCACTTCTGACCAGACTTTCCCTCCCAACAGCACCCTAGGCTGCTGAACTCACCAGTGGGAGGACCTACTGCTAGTACAGGGCCTCCATGGATCAATCACCTTTCAAACACATGAGATTTGGTGGATTACTTTTAGACCCAAACTATAATGATATATTCTCATCCCCAGCTCTTCTCCTCTATCTCTGCTTCCTGGTTGCCATGGGTTGAACACCTTTTCCTCCATCACATTCCTCTGTCGTTCTGTTTTTGCCTTAGAGCCTGCCAACCATGGACTGAAACCATAAAATACAAACCTGTCTTCAAGTTGTGGGTGTCAGGTTTTATGTCTAGCAAGGAGAAAGTGACTAAGACAGATTACATTACATTCTTACAGTAGGAAAATATATAGTAATAAAAAAAGAATGGAGTCAGGTACGTACAGTCCCAAGACTAAGGAAAGAACTGTACAACAGGAACCTTAAACATCTTATTATTTCAAAAAATAAGTGCTCACAAATAAGACATATCACAAGGACATAGGAACCAAGTAAGGCAAAAGACCCCACTGGCAAAGCCTAAAACAAACAAGCAAGAAAATAAGTGAATAAATCATAAACCACTAAAAACATAGGAATTATATATTGATAAAGAGTAAAGAAAGGGTCTTGCTCAATGGTAAAATGCCATGGGCTTTCTAGTAAACGCAGAAAGAGAATTATAATCACAAAAACTACTTCCCACCATGTTAATAAGGACTGAGCCTTCACAATGTTATATATAGGTAAACATGCATGAAAGGAAAGACACCTGCATACTCTGTGTCTCCCCAGACTGCCCCACAGCTGTGATTAAACAAAAAAGGCAAAAAAAAAAAAAACCCAGTAATTATATAGTGGAGCAAACACTATGACTGGGAAGATCAAAATTAACATCACCAAGGGACAGGTGGACATTATATGTTCTCAATTGGGATGGTCCAAAAAAGACCAAATACCTATGCAGTTTTCTACAGTATTCCAAGGATGCGTAACCTGAATTTAACTAGCAGGAGTCCAAAATTTAAAAAACATTAAAATGAGGAATGAAGAACTAGTTCCATAAGCCTTTGTCTTAGAAATACAAACTGAATTTTTGTATCAGGGGCAAAGATCCACGATATCTATAGCCTAGTTCAGAAAAAACTAGATTTATAATCTAGTTAGCTCAGAAAAAAACTATTAGTGGAGAGTGCATATGTACAGATGCTAAAGCAAGGAGAAAAACACTAATGGGTAAACCTAGGTAAATGATATACAGGTGTTCTTGGTACTATTAAATTTTTTGCAACTTATGTGTACATTTGGAATTTCCAAGTAAAATACTAAGTGAGAATAAAAAGATATTCTCAACTGATAAGCAATTTTCATTGCAAATAATAATCAAGACTCAAATATTTAAAACACTAACATTACGGAAACTAATCTTTTCATATTTTTCAGAATGAACGGTTAACACAGTTGAAAACTTAAAACTTACAACTCAATGCATGTTATCAAGTCAAATCCAAGCAAACGGGAGTCTCTCTCCACAACAGAGCCGTGATACAAGGTAACAGTCAAATCCAGATCTCGGGGTTTCACAAACTCCCCCAAATAGGGAGACAAATGATGTCTGCAAAGAATTACTGCATAAGTAAGAAACATAATATGCAAAATCTATTCAGAAACTCTCAGGCTGAAGATATGCTTAGTGGTGGTACCAGCAGTACCAGTGGTAGCCAGCATACAGAAAGCCCTGTGTTTGATCCCTACTACAATAAATTTAAAAAAAAATTTTTTTAATTTCCAAGCTATAGATCTCAGATCCCTTGGTAATCATCTGCCTACACAACTGCAAATCTGACTTGGATTGTTTCCTCATCTTGATATACTAAACCTAGGTCATAGGGCAGCTTCCTTTCATAGTAGGAGGCTACAAGCCAATGAGAATAAATTCTTTTGAGAATATTTGATGTTGTTCTCATTTTTAATACTTGTGGTCTTCCAGCTTGCTTTGGATCACTGATTCTCAGCTATCTGTACTTTAGAAGAAAAACATTCTCAAAATAATCTGCAGCGGAAGGGGAAATGTTTGCTTGAAAGGGCTAAGCACATGGGATGGCCATGCTTTATAACTCACTCAGAACTAATCTAATCCCAAAGCCTAACACACTCCCCCAAGACAGACTTCAATCATTCAGAGTTGAGCCCCCAACAGCATGTTACCTTCTGCTAGCAACCACCTCCCAACAGCTTCACCACCTCAGCACCACCATGCTGACAGCCACATTTCAACACATACATCTCTGGGAGATGAACCACATATAAAACACAGGACTACGTATTACCCATTTGACTGTAATTTTTCCTCATCAATATCTACTCCAACAAGCAGTTGGATGCATGGGTAGATTTTTAGCAGCCTTAGGAGCTCAGTATCACCACATCCCAGGTCTGCAACCTGTACAAGAAACAGAATGACATTTCAAAGACATGTGTAGCCAGGAAAATACGAACCAGAAACTGGAAGTGTGGGGGGACTGTGTATCAGTGATAAAACCATTATAGGGAAAGATCTTTTTAGCGGAATTGTGTGCCTAAAAATAGAATTAATCTGAGATTTTAAGCTTCTGGGAAAATAACTGTTCCTACTCCAGCTATTACTATTGTCCGTATTTGACTAAGAAAGATAGAAAGATTAGGCATATGCAGTTTTCCCATTTCGAATCAGAAGCTGGAGTCATAAATATTCATAGTTTCACGTTTCAGCAAACAAGGCTCTCTAAAACATTGCTTTTATTTTCCATGTATGGCTTCTTTTATTTATTTATTTTTTTTGGTACCGGGGTCGAACTCACGACCTTGCGTGTGCCAGACAGGCGCTTATGCCGCTGAGCTAAATCCCTGGCCCCCTTATTTTCCATATAGAGAAATTTAATTTCTTATTTGACAAAACAATCACCTCAAACCATATGAAATTCTTACTGGTCTATAAAAAAGCCACTTTAACTGAATACATGTGCCTGAAAGGTCATCAAGACATCAGTGGATACCTCTCTGTGTGTGCATGTGTCAGAGAACCCTAGTGTCATTAAAGCAGGAGAAATGTCTAAGCAAAAGAATGTTAACAGAAGAAGAAACCTTTCATCTAGATGTTCACCGAACCTACACCTAATCTAAGACAGAACATCAAATTCATTATGATAGTGGCTTGGTCATGAAATCATGACTTCCTCTGAAGGAAGGTAACTTATTTAAAAATTTGGGGGGGGGGGGCGTTTAAACCACAGGTACTCTGCCATTAAGTTATATCCCCAATCCTTTTTATTTTTTCTTTGGAGACAAAGTCTCACCAAGTTGCCTGTTCCAGCCTTCCAGGTAACTGGGATTATGGGGATATGCTATCATGCCTGTTGCCTTTTTCCCCCCTTTTTGAATGAGGTCTTGCTATTTGCTTAAAGGCCAGCGTGGATAACACAGTAAGACCCCTATTTCTCACAAAAAATTTTTAAAAAATTAATAATAAGGTGGTACGCATTGTAATCCCACAACTCAAGGAGGTTAAGGCAAAAGAACTGCAAACTCAAGCCTAGCGGGGCAGCTTAACAAAGCCCTGTCTCCTTAAAATTAAAAAAAAAAAAAAAAAACTTTAAAAAGGGTTAAGAAAGCAACTCAGTGTGAACCCTGGTTCAATTCCCAGAATCACAAAAAAAATAAAAAGTGAAAAACAGTCAACTGCATGACCTAATCTGCAAAATGTGTATTTTTATTTCCTTCGCTCATTTTTCTACTGCAGCTCTTCTTTTCCTAATCAATTCAAAAGCATTCTTCATATATTAAATCTTTCTTCTGTGTGGCCAACGTTTTCTTCACATCTACAATTTAGCTTTTGATTTGGTTCATGGTATCTCCTATCACACAGAGGAGTTCACAATTTTTATGTAATAAAATCTTTTCTTTTTATGGCATCTTTGAAAGGTTTCTAGTTAACTGTTTAAAAAGTCTAATTCATATTATCCTACATTTTTCTCAATTTTTTTGTTTTCCTTTTTATACTGTAACTCTTTAATATGTAGAATTTATTTTCAATTCACTGAAGATGAACTAAGGTCATGCTTAACATAAAGAGAACATGGAATACTGATGAGAAAGCAGTTATCAAAGCAAAAGCCTTTAGACAAATAAATATGTAAAATGTCATTAAACAAAGAAAACCTAATGGTAAATACTTATGTCCCAAACAAAACATAAAAAGGAACTATACTATAGCACAATAGAAAACCTACAAGATATAAGAAGAAACAAAGGAACTATAACAAATGAAAGATATAAAAACATGGATTGATGGAGACTTCAAACTGGAGGAAAAAAAAAAACCTAAAGAAAATGCCTAAACCAGGCATGGTCGTACGTGTCTATAATCCCAGCACTCAGGAGGCCGAGGCATAAAGATTACGATGAGTTTGAGGCAAGCCTAAACTACACAGTAGGTTTAAGGTTGGGTTGTACTACAAAGCGAGACTCAATCTCAAAAACTAAAAAGAAAGAAAGAGAAAACAATTCAAAGCCTCTCATTATTAAAGTTAAGAAACTAAAGTATAACGTAGACTAGAAACCAAGTCATCCAACTATTAGTACAATGTAAGAAAATAATAAGGTGTTTTATGAATGCATAATGACAATATGCCTGAAAATCAAGAAGCCAAAAATAAAATATCAGACCTGAAGCCTGTAAAGGAATTTATATTCTCTGAAAACCAAACCTGCTATCAAATTCTTAATTACCATCTCAATAGATTTTGCCTCCCTCTGGCCCAGGCTTTTTATTTAACAGATAAGAATCTTTATAAAGGCAAATCCTGGGGCAGGAAGCAAAAGCAGACTAAATTGGAAAAAAGCAGGAAAAAACAGAAGTGGATATAAAATTCAAAATTGTATGAATGTAGAACATAAGACAACTGAGAACTATTGCAAGAACGACTACACACACATACACACAGAACTACATACAAAGAAAGACAAGGACAGAGGACACAGCTCAAAGTAAGAGCAGTTACTAATGAATCTGACCAACCACTTCACAGAATACTAGTAAAGTGTCTGGAGAGAGATACCTACCTTCTTAGGTTCATGTTGATCCACTAAATCTCTTACAAACTGGTATCGTTGTTTGTACAAGGGAGGTTTAAACCTAATTACCTTCTCTGGGCAGACTTCTTCAAAATTACCATCAACCACACTATTGCACTGAAAATTTGCAAACAAATAGAAATTAAATAAGGAGGAGAAATCTTTCTTTCCTCCCAATCGCTCTGAAGAACACACCAGCCCCCTCCTCATGTTCTTGGGAGGTCATAGGCAGCACTGCATTTTCTCCACAGATCTTCACCTTCTACCTTTCTGCAGGTGAGAATTGGACTTCAAGCTTCTGACAGCTTAGTTTCAGCTGAGAGCAACATTACCAGTGAGTATCATAACAATTAGAAGCCTCCTAACCACAGAGGGCCTTTTGTGAACTGCCAAAGCCTTTGTTCCTGATAGGAGGCTGGAAAATGAGTAACAAAAGACTTTCTGGACCAGCTTTACTCGTGCCTCTCTGTAGCCTTTGACTCAGGCTTTACTGCGCAGCCCAGTTTAGGCAAGAATTCAGTGAAACCGTACACATACCACAATGAATGTAGTCATTATATACTGCAAACCTATACTAATAAAAATTATAAGTCTGTGGAAAAAGAATCTCTCACCTTTATATCTAATCACCCTTTATGACCTAATCAAATTCTTTATCCCCTACTCTTGATGTGTAAGCCCTTGACCTGCCTTCAGCAGAAATCCTGTTAAGTCTGTTTAGCAAGAACCCCCCTATTCTTGATGTCTCGACTTTCCATCCACCTGCCCTACGGCCCTACATCCCAATCTTCGCATATATCCCCAGTTGCCCATTCTGTACCTAGTAAGGCTCACCACAGTGCTCACTGCAACAGTCCTAAATAAAGTTAGAACAAACAACTCCTTTAACAGACTCCAAGACAAAAAAGCAGGATTTAGAAAACCAATCTATAACTGCTGTCGCTCTTGTTAGACCAATAGGCCTGTGATATGTAGAGTAACTGTCCAATAAAAATAAAATGCAAGCAAGGGTCATATTACTCATTGATAAGAGTGCTTGCCTAGCATATGAGAGGCTCTGCAATCCTCAGTACTACATAAAATATAAAATACATGCCACACATGCAACTTTTTTTTTCAATGCTAGGGATGGAACCCAGGACTTCACACAACCGTTACCACTGAGCTACAGCCCAGCCCTAAATATTTATTTTTAAACTTAAATTAATGAAATTAAGGTTTGATTCCTTGTCCAGTTGCTCCAGTCATATTTCAAATATCTAGTTGTTACAAGTACCTACCACAGCTTAGGTACTGCAAACCCCTGGACATTTCATAGGAATGCATACACCAGACCTCCTCAAACAAAATCTATAGTCTCCAGGTAATTCATTCACATGTTTACATTAGAGCTAGTGTTTTTTAAAGTAGCAATTTTAAAGTAGCGGTGATTAAAAACACTGATGTACTTTATAGACATCAAATGCAGACATTTCATCAATGTAAAGTCTTGTGTAGTTCAACATTCAAGGAAATGCTAGGGCCTAAAGGGGATAGATTTTGCTTGTAATCTCCCCAATACAAAGCTATTATAAATCTGAAACTCATGTTGGCCAGTAAGAAGGGTGGCATTTACCTGCACATTCATTTCTTCCATTTCCATTTTATTTCCAAGTTTCCTTGAGACAAAGAACTCAGATATATCCCTCAAGCTTCGAATCAAAAAATGAAGAGCGACTCAACTGCAAATACAAAATTTCATTTTCATAGAGACACCTACTGGGAGTGGTGGCCAGTGGCGCGGCTGAAGTAGGAGAATTTAAGTCCAGCTTGAGCAACACCCCCCCGCCCCCACCCCCCACAAAAAAGAAAAATTTGAAATGGCTGCCCAGATGGGAAGAGAAGGGAGAGGGGCTTCCTCTTTTTTCTGTTTTTTTTGAGACAGGGTCTCTCTATGCAGTTCAGGCTGGCCTTGAGCTCACTTTATAGCCCAGGCTGGTCTCGAAATCGCAACGCTCCTCTTGCCTCAGCCTCCCGAGTGCTGGGATTACAGGTGTGAGCCACTATGCCTGGCTGCTTACTCTATTCTTATGTGTTACTTTTTAAACCACAAAGTTTATCCTGCAAGTACTGTTTCAGCCACTAGCAAACAGGCTTGGAAGCATAATTTTCCATTACCTCAAACTTACCTAAGCGCAATAACACTCAATCTTTCTTTCCACTACTATTAGTACAATCTGATACAAAGTGAAATAAACTCCTGCACTCTGCCCATTTCAATGTTGAAACACTCAACATCATCCGTACTGCTCTCAGTAACGTTTTCAAACTTTATAAAAATAAAATTTCGAGTGCCCCTAATGCTGCAACATCAATCCAATTCACTCACAGGCTTGAATTTAGAACTTGGTTCTCAACTGCCCACAGATCTTCAATCAACCAAAACTCAGCCTGAAATGTGGGCACCAAATTAACCGGTGGCTCCCAGTAATACCCAGAGTCCTATCCTGAAGCGCTGGGCAAGCGAGTCAACGCCCGGTCTTCCCCCGCGAGGCACCAGCCCCACCTCTGAGAAAGATACCCTCGGAGGCGGAGAAGCAGAGGGCGGCGCCGCGAGCAGGTTTCGGGTTTCGCAACCGAGCGTCGGCCTTAAACTCCGGCCTCACGGTCAGCCCGAGCAGCCCCGAGCCCGGCTTAACCGCACAGGCCACACCTGCGCAGCCGCCCCGCACCCCCCGTCCCCCGCCCCCCCCGTGCGCGTCCTGGACGTGCGCCCGGCTCCGCCCCCGACGCTCGCAACTCCGCCTGACACCGCCTCCCTGCGGGCGCTTCATTGCCGGGCGTCGGTTTGGGGGCGCTTAACGGCCACTGCGGCGCATGCTCCGAAGCCATTTTCTAAGTCTGACCCGCACCAAGGGGAGCGTTGCGCCCTTCGCCCGGCTAGGCGGGCCGTCAACTGTTGGGTGGAGGCGGCGCCCCTGGAGCGGCGGCTGGCCCGGCTGTTCGGTGTCTTGCTCTCCCCCTGCCGGGAACGTCTGCCTGACGGGAAGGGCCAGGGGAGCAGCGGGGCTCCCCAGTAGCGAGTGCAGAAGAGTCCCCAACTCTGACCCCAAAACAGTTGCCCTACAGCCGTGTGAAGTTGGCCCCAAAATGGCTGAACGCTAAGAAAATATTCTTTCAGCTCCCAGACTCTCGACTGGTTTTGCCACACGCTGTGGACTGAATGCTGATCACTTAAACTTACTGACTTGTGCCTTTTGTTTCCTTTCAGAGACTCGACTTTATTTATACTTTATATAAAAATAAGGACAGCATTTTCCTGTATGTGATGGAAAAGAGTAAAGATGCCTTCTTTGGAAAATATTTAGTCTTGTTTTAAAAGTCAAAAGTGGTTACTACACTGAAACTGCATTTTAATACATCAACAATATGCAAAAGCATTGTGCTGTTTTGGAATAAATTACAAAAATCTTTTCCGGTATTTCAGAGATTAATCTTGAGAGTGTGTAACTCAAGTCTTATGCGGCACAGTACCGCATCACTGTTGCAGAGGTTCCTGTTGGCGTAGGGAAGCTGCAGTTTAGACTGTTAATGCTATTCCAGGTTTAGTATCTGTGCTGCCAGTGCAATGCGAATGGTCTGAATACCACAAAGTTTTGGACCGAAAAATTGTTAAGGGCTCAGAGTATCGCTCAGTGGAAGAGCACTTGCCTAGCATGTAGCAGCCTTGGATTCAGTACCCAGCGCAACACACAGATTGCTAAATTTTATGTAGATCTGCCACACCTTAAAATTCAAGGAGTTTGAAAGTTAAATGGGGGGAGAGGGAGCACACACCTGCAATCCTAGCATTTGAGGCGCTGAGGCAGGAGAACTGCCATGAGTTCAAGGCCAGCATGAGCTAAATAGAGATCGTCTCAAAAAAAAAAAAAAAAGTTAATACAGAATTGGGCCTTCGGTTTTTGCCTCACCAGCTATTTGACCTATTTATGAACTTGAATTCCTCCTGGTCCCTTTCCATGGTAGTTGGTAATTCAGAAAAAGTTACAATCCCCCAAAAAAGATACCTATAGGCCGGGCTTAATGGTCTGGCATATTAAAATGTCACAAAACAATTTCATAGTGTTGGATATTTTCTTTGTACAGAGTTGTCATGTGCAAGCTATGCCATTAACATAGAGTCACATTTATGTCTTTCCACATTGCAGTTTACTAGATAACAGTAGACTCACAAGCCACATTAGTTGTTTTGGCTTTACTTTGCAAGTATTTTGGATTTCACTTGGCGTCTGATTGTGGCAATCACGAGTTCATTATTCCAGTCCAATCTTAATTACTAATAACTATAGCATTTATCGTAGTTACTTTCTTCTTACTGGAACAAAATGCTTGCCACTCACAATTTAAAGGAGGAAATGTTTATTTTGGTTCATGTATTTTTAAAGAATTCAGTCCATAGCTTGTTCCAAGGCAGGAAGGGCATGGTAGAAGGGTCTGGTGGAGAAAAACTGCTCAAGTCATGATGTTGCAGAAAAACCAATATCAAATAGAAGACTCTGCACTGAGGAGTTAGAAGGCAACTTTTACTATGCTAGCAGGCTGATAAGAATCAGTTGCAAATCACCAGGCAGGAATCAGCCTAGAGTTCAGTTTAAATACAATTTGCAAGCAGGAAGTACTTGCTGATGGCAGGTTATTAAATGATTGGTTACATGAATTAAGTCATGTGTTGTCAACAAGCTAATTCTAAGTAAATTTCTGGGAAGCAGGGGAGGGGATTTGAGTGGAACAAGTACAGTTAAATGTGTCCTTGACTGGATCAGTCTGTCACAAACATAAGTCCTTAAAGCAAGTTGGAAACAATGTATATTTTTCTAAGTAAGGAAAAATACATGCCTTGCAACTAGACACAGACAAGTTGACCCAGCACATCTCCACATCAGGGAGAAGTGACTGGATGCAGACAGTCAAGGCTGACTGAATTTAGCAGGCTGACTGCATGACAAGCAACAGGAGCACAGTCACAGGCCTCTAAATGATTTTTAACTTGGGAGCCACCTCCATCAAGGCCCCACCTTCTAATAGCAAGTCATACATCAATGGATTAGTCCACTGATAAGCACAATGATCAATCCCCTTCCCAAAGCCCCTCCGCTAAACACACAGGGCTTTTGGAGGACATTCTAGATTTAATCATAACTCATATGTCACATTTGAAATAATTATTTTGGGTTACAGAAACTTGGCAAGGAGTAAAGAGGCTGAGGCATTTACGGAGGCAATGCAAGAAGTTAATGCAAAGTGCCAACACAAACACAGTTGCTACAGGTGATGAGGTATTGGGTTAGCAACCAATCATGGAGATGTAAAGAAGAAGGGTCCAGAACTGTAACCTCAAAGTGGACAGCATTGACCACAGGGAGAATTGCACTGTACCACGTCCAGGAAAAGTGAGGAGTTTGTTGCCTGGCAATCTCCTGGGCAGAGGCCCTCACAAGTGTACCAGAGTGGTCTGTGGGGAAGTGACAGACCAGTGGGCCATGCTATACCCTGAGGTGTCTCTTTTTTTTTTAATGCATCTAGAAGAGGTGATTGCTTTATACATTAATAGGGCATTTCTGATGAGGTCACTGGTGGTAATTTTACTAGCATGTATTAATCACTTAATCCATGCCTTATGGTTGGGCAGAACAGATTGTGCATGTTTATAAGAAGCTGAGTCATTTTACCTTATCATTTTTACTGAAAGTGTAGTAACTCAGGATAAGCTGCTACTCTATACAACAATGAAGTTATTGGTGGCTGTCTTGGTTTAAGAATGGCTACTAACAGCCTGGCACCCTGATGAGAAGGTGTGGGGCAGAAATTATATTGGAATATGAATGTATCTTATGGGCCAACTCTAAGCATCTGGTTAGTGATGAAAAAATAGATTACAAAGTATATAATTCTCAATTGGTCTGGAAAATTGCTTGAGTTTTCAGATGTATTTATTAGTCAGCCTTTCCTGTGTTGCAATAAAATACCTGACACACATAACTTAGAGGAGAAAAGGTTTATTTTGGTTCATGATTTCAAAGGTTTTCATCCATCATGGGCTGGCTCCACTGCAGAAAATCATGGCAGAAGTGTATGGTGGAGCAAAACTACTCACTTCATGATAGCCAAGTAGAACAAGGAAGAGCCAGCCAGGCATCTCTCAAGCTGACAATCAAGATTAACCATCACAGACATGCAAAAAGCTATAATTTTATATCCATACTTTGTTCATGCTTTCTCTTAAAGAAGGCTACCATATTACATAAGCTTCAGGTCCCACAAATCCTAGGTCAGTACTACCAAGATCAGATTCTAGAGGAAAACTGCCTCTACAATAGCACAATTAAACTCTGATCAGCTTTTATTAGTGTTCTCCAGAGGTGCATAGCCAATAAGCTATATGTGTGCATGTATGAAGAGAAGCTGGGGGGGGGGGTTACGGAATTGGCTTGTGTAATTATGAAGGAACAAGTCCAAAGCCTACAAGATAGATACTCATCAACTGAAGCTCAAGCCTGAAGTCAATCATCTTAAGAATTCCTTCTTGCTAAGTAGGAGGGTGAGAATGGGTAGAGGATTACAACTGGGGAGACACTAATCTTTTGTTCTATTAAGAATTTCAGCTGATTAGGCCCAATCACATTATGGAAGGTGATCTGTTCTACTCAAAGTCTACTGATTTCAGTGTTAATCTTATTTTAAAAAGGAAAAAACAGCTTTCATAGAAACAACTAGGATGTTTAACTAAATATCTGCACACCTTGGGCCAGGTGATCTGATACATAAAACGAGCCATCACAAGCCAGGCATGGTTGCACATGCCCACAATCCCAGCTATTTAGGAAGGTCAGTCTGGGAAATTTGCCGACACCCTATCTTAAGGTATAAAAAGGGATGGGTATATAGTTCAGTGCTCTATGAGTTCAATTCTTAGTACTTGTGTGTGGGGGGGAGCCATCACGATCCCATTCTCCCAACAGTTTGCCAGGACATTGGGTACATGGTGCCCTTCACCTTGAATGACTACAATAGCAAGGCTCTCACACTCAACAGATGTGCTCCGTGTGTCCAGCCTTCAGGAGAGAGAATCTGGCTGGCCACCTTTGATTATGTCTCCACACTTGCTTAATCACAGTACAGATGTGGTTGTGTTCACAGCAAGTCTCAAGCTGTCTTTCAGCAATTACATGAGCAAGTCAATTTTGAGATTTACAGCATTTATTTAGACTTTCATCTAAAAACCTATTTAAGCCATTATCTAAAAAAAAATCAAAATTAGACACAATCTCACACACATCAGAATAGTTTAAACAAAAGATGCTTAATATCCAAAATGGTAGTGAAAATGTTGTCAAGGCTTGGAAACATGTGACTATCTCATAAAAAGTGAAACACGTACCCAATATATGACCCCATCACTCTACTTCTGGACACTAGTCAAGACACAAATGTCCAAATAAAAACTAGTAGTTGTGTGTGTGTATGTATTGGAATCTAATTCAGGATCTTGCACTT